TCTCGGTCTCGATAGAGCTGAAGCTTTCCAGATTGGCAACTGACTGATGTCTGCCGAACATTGCGTGTGGTGGGGGGGCCGATGTGGGAGCCGAAATTACGTCAAGCCTGGCGCCCCCGTCAAGTAGATATGCCCGACGGTTCGATCCAAATCCGAGTCCGTTTCCGTTCACGGCTCAGACTAGGTGTATTTTGTTGGGTTCTCAAGCCGGTAGGAGTTACTATCTGGGGAGCTTCGTCGCTAACTCCAAAACCGCATGCCGGTGGAAAGTAATACCACCGAGCGAGCACCACTCCAAGACACCCAACTCCATGTGAGTAGGCACTTCGAACGGCAAGTGATTCGAATAAACCCAGAGTTGCATAACTCTTGTGCTGTAGCGATGCAGTGTATGTCGGATTTACCTACTGGGAGTGATTGGATGGCATGCACCCCATACTCACTGTCGTCCACATAACGAGCAACTTATTAACGGATACATAATGCCGAACACCTCAAAGCTTATAGCTGAAGCCGATTGGCTCATGAACCGGGACTACCGATACTTCAACACCCTTGTCCAGTGCCAGGATGGGAAATAGGCGTACACCTTGAGCACCTCAATGTGTTTTGACTCGTGTTCTTTGAATCGTCTAGACGTTCATAAACATGCGAGGTAACAACATTAGCAGTATTGGAAATTTTGGGTGGCAGCATTCGATTGTGTCGATTATTTTGTATCATCCCGGTTTCTTCGTTTTTGATCGTGAAGATCCATTGACTTATTTTCGAGTATGGCGTTACTTCCTACCTCAGGAATACTGGTGGAAGCGGAAGAGTTCCGTGACTTCGGCGGCTGGATCTTGGACTCGCAGTTCGACTCGGAGATGGGATCACCATATCTCCTCGCTCACGGTAACGGCAAGTCAGTCACGGATGCAACGACTACCATATCGGCGGAAAAGGGCCGTTACAATATTTGGGTTCGAGCCAAGGACTGGGTTCCCACTCATCATCCTGGCCAATTTACACTCACTATCAACGGGAACACCCTCGACACAGTCTTCGGCAGGAATGGAAAAGATTGGTACTGGCAGTACGCTGGCATAGTAGATCTCCCGGGGGATGACACAAGACTGGTGCTACACGATTTGACCGGATTCTGCGGCCGTTGCGATGCCATCTTCTTCGGCAAGGGGAACGCATCGCCGCCCAACGGAATTGATGGAAAAGCGCGTGCCTGGCGGAGACGATTACGTGGGATACCTGATCAGCCTCACGATTCGGGGTCATTCGATGTTGTTGTTGTCGGCGGAGGCATACCTGGCTGCACCGCCGCATTAGCAGCTGCACGATTGGGAGATCGCGTTGCCCTTATCCAAGACCGTCCTTACCTCGGTGGCAATGCCAGCGTAGAGATTGGACTCACTCCACGCGGTATGACCAACTCCATCATTCAAGAGCTTTCTCAACGCGACCTCGATGGTGACCTGGTTGCGAAGCAGCTGCTTGATGCAGAACCCAACGCGACAACGTTCATGGAGTACACTGTTTACGATGCCGCCCTCACCGATTCGCAGATAACATCGGTGAAGGCACGCCATGCCCGCACTGGAAAGGAGATTCGCCTTTCAGCTCCAGTCTTCATTGACTGCTCCGGCAAAGCCGTCCTTGGTATCTTTACTGGCGCAGAGACCCTTTTTGGTCAAGAGTCCAAGGCGATGTATGGCGAAAGCCTTGCACCTACAGAATCTGACGAGATGCATCACGGACACACAGTCTTCTTTCGGACTCGAATGGGCGACAAGGTGGCCCCCTTTCCGTCTGTCCCATGGGCCACTGAGGTTGCTAAAGACTATTCGGATCTTCGGGGTCAGCTCAGTAAGCCCGGTCTTGAGAATGGCCCGGGACCTCTTGTTGTGCCCCCGAGTTTCATACCCGATCCAACCAACGATATGAAGATGAAGGGACCTCTCACCCACTTCTGGGAATACGGCCAATGGCTCGATCCATATACTAATGGTGAACACATTCGGGACCATCTCTTGCGCGCCATCTACGGGACATTTCACAACGTGAAGGAGATGGAACCTGAGACCTACGCGAATCTTGAGTTCGATTGGGTAGCGTTTGTCGCCGCCCAAGGAGAGTTCAAAAAGTACAAGGGCGACCATATTCTTACAGAGACCGATATCCGCGATCATAGAATCTTCCCCGACGCCGTGGTGCAGAATGCGGGCGCCTTCTGTCTACATTACCCAGGCAACAAAAAGTACGACTTCCGTTTGCAAGCCTGGGAATGGGATGAGCGGGATAAAAAGCCCTACGACATCCCTTTCCGGTGTCTTTATTCGTCTAATATCTCGAACTTGATGATGGCTGGGAAACATATCAGCACTACGCACATTGGAGGATCCAACGCCAAGTTTATGGCCAATGGAGGATGTCACGCATTGGCAACGGCTGCCGCGGCGCACTTGTGCAAAGAGCACCAAACCAATCCTCGTGGTATTTATGAGAAACACCTTCCGGAGCTAAAGGCAACTATTATTCGCCAGGGCCAGGGCATCTGGGACCGAAAATCAGACAACAGGCTGTGATTTTTGTAAGACTTTCTGAAGCCCATCGATGTTTCTCATGAAAGATCTGTGGTCTTCAATTGGGCATCCTTCAGGAGGAGCATAGATAGGAGTGTAGCTTTTCCCACAGGTATTTTCTGTCCTATAACCCACAGTCTTGTCGCTCTTACTAGAATATTGAGATGCGAATTGAGTTTTTGATTTATAAATGATACCTTTCCTCAGTACAATACCTGCAGAACCGGAAAGGGCCCTCTGCGGCAATACTACAACTTCTCATTGTGAACTCCATCAACTGCCTCCTTGAAATCCTCCAAAAACAACCACCTGCCCTGTTCGATCCAACCTTGGTCTGAAAAGTCATTTGCATAGTCCGGGAACGTTCGGACAATATCCTTCAAATGGTTATCGTGCGCAATTATAACAAGGGTATTTCCGCTTCCATCAGCGTCGATGATGCGGTCTACGGTCTCCTCGGCAGCATCTGGATTGCCAAATAGCATACCCGGGCGATGAACGCCGTAGAACGGTTTGGTCGAGTCTTCGTTCCGAAGGATGGGTTTGAAAAGTGCCCCAGGGCAAGGGATCTCACTGCCTGAATGAAACGGATGTGGCGATATCGAGTCGGGCAATGGATTGTATGCGGATGGCCTCATCTCGGCGCTATGATGGCAGGTGTCAGCGCCCATGAGGATGAAGCTGTCCGGGCCGGTCGTCACCCGCGCAATAGCGTTTACATGACCAACAGTATGGCCTGGCGCGTCCAAGATGTAGAAACTTCCGTCGCCGAAGTAATCGATGGCAGGGAACGAGCCGACTTTGATGGGTGACTCGGTGAAGTTCAGTTCACGGAGTTCGCGGCCGGCGAAATCAGAATCCAGGACTGGGGACCCTGGGTTCGTAGGGTAGCCTGGCGTCAGAATGTCCTTAAAACCCGGGCCGACTATCAGCGACGTGCTTTTGGGAAATCTGCTCGGATCGCCGATATGATCCCAGTGCCAATGGCTCCAGATGATGCTCTCGATTTCACCCGCTTCAACCCCGCCTTCTTCGAGGATCTCTCTTACGTCCTTGTCAACGCTGCACATCGTCCCGGTTTCTTTCATCCAGTTCTGAATAGGAGGTGAGAGATTTTCGAAGTCTTTGCGCACCCCGAGATCGAAGAGGACTTTGCGACCAGTTGGTGGGTGCTCGACGAGGAAAACGTAGGAGGGACACGAAAGCCAAGAATGGCCTTTGATGGCGTGCGAAACCATGCTCGCCATGCTCACCACAATTTTGGACGTCGAATCGATGACCCTGACATTGACGGTCGAAGCGGACGGCGGTACGTGAAAGTTTGATAAAGGCATAGTGGCGTATTTCCGCTCCAATGGACGATTTTGGATATATTGCGGTCAAGGAAAACGAAAGGTTTTCGTGGTTGGTTATTGACCTTTTTCCTCGTTGAGCATATTGTTTAGGAGCACCCCAAGGCAAGAGTGAGAGGAATCCGGCACTCGGTACTCGGCGCACGGTAGTCTTGTCGGCACTAAAGAGCCTGCGTCCTCAAAGGTACAGAGTACAGGGAGTATCACGTCGTTGTGGGGATATAAACGACATGTGGAACATCAAGTCTAATCTCAAAGGAGTTGCAGTTGGAAATGGTGCTCCATAACACAATGTCTGTTCGTACTGCTTTAGTAACGGGATCCGCTAATGGCATTGGCCGAGCCATAGCACTGCGCCTGGCGCAAGATGGTTTTCAAGTAGCGATTAACGATCTTGCCAGTCAAGAGGTCAAGTTGAGAGAGCTGCAGTATGAGCTTGAACTGAAAGGTCGACTCCTGAATTCCAGCTTTTCCTGCCTTCCATCAAGCGTTAGCTGACAACTTGCAGGCGTGCGGACGGCTGTACTTACCGCAGACATAAGCAACGAGGACGATGTCGCAAACCTGATCCGAAACACATCAGAGATACTAGGTGGAGTTGATGTGAGTATAAATGAAGACGTCTATGTCAGAATCAGAGCTGAGCATGGTGGATGTGAAGGTGATGGTCGCAAACGCTGGCGTGATTCTCGTCAAACCGATCCTCGAAATAAGTGCCAGTGAATGGGACAAAGTGCAGGCTGTCAGTTGCCAGATCGGGAACTCTGCGGTGCACATTTTGACATGACATAGATCAATGTTCGGGGAGTCTTTTTATGCTTCAAATATGCAGCTCAGGAGATGATCAAGCAGGGCCGAGGTGGGAAGTTAATCGGGGCTTGTTCTATCTCAGGATATCGACCAGTATGGCGAATCAGGGCTCTCTTGACGTGCAGCTGGGAAGTTGACGAGTCTACAGTCTCAATTCGCGCCAGCATACTCAGTCAGTAAGTGGGCTGTTCGGGGGCTCACCCAAGCTGTTGCTATGGACATGGCACAGCACGGCATCACGGTCAACGCATACTGCCCAGGCATGGTCCGTACCGACATGTGGGAGACCATTGACACTAGCCTCACAACCAGAATGGGACTTCCCAAAGGTGCTGCGTTTGAGCAAGGTGTTGCGACTCGCATTGCGTCTAAGAAACCTCAGGTGCGTCTTGGTCCGTGACGATTGCGCCTCATGACAGCTGATCAAGGCGGAATGCAGACTCCTGAAGACGTCGCTGGCTTGGTAAGTTTTCTGGCAGGAAAAGACTCGGATCAGATCACCGGTCAGAGTTTGATCGTAGACGGTGGTGTGGTGTTTTCTTAAGCAACGTTTCCTTCAGTGAGGTACAGTTGGTACAGGAACACGCTCGTACAGCAGCGGACAGTTGGATAAAAGAGACACAGGGATTCATGGAAGTAGTAGGCGCTGGTATACCAATATTTGACGTGATTCACGGTCACTTGGACTTATCGCCCCTCTCATTTTTTGCCTTGTCTTAGTGAGAGATAAGTCAACAAGTGTTATCATATGCAGTCTAGGGCGTGTTGTGTAACTTCAATTCTAGCCACCCTGGTCCTTACCTCCGTGCATGGACCGGATGAGCACGGTATCTCGCCGTCGCTAAAAGTAGTAAAAGTCCGAGGTGGGGATCCCGGCCGGAGTGAGACTTCGGTATCTGCCTCAATCAGAAATGCCCGAGCTACAAATAGAAAGGTTGGGCGGAGCGGTCATTATGTTAAAGGTTAGGGAGTTGACTATCTCAAGCCTAGGAATTTTTCCCACAGCGATATTGAAGGGATTTTCGACATGAAGGCTCAGATCGCTGGCCTGGTAAGCTGATTTTGTGGCTCTGATGTCAGTGAACTTTCGTCCCTAATCAAAGTGCTCCCATGCAGGCGTTGGTCGCTGTGCTTCTGTACAAAGTTGCGACGTGGTGGTTCCATCCTCTACGAAAGTTTCCGGGGCCTAGATCGGCGTCATATAGCAATGCAAGTTCTAGCACTTCCCCAGTGCTGTGTGAGTGCTCATACATTTGAACATAGGCATTGTATTCGTGGAACTTTATGAGTGGTCGTCAGCCATATCGTCAACTTGAGCTGCACGAAAAGTACGGTGAGTTCTTCATGACCCATCTACTTACTCTGGGAGTACTCGCTCTGATTATTTCGTCATACCAGGGCCTGTCGTTCGCGTGGCTCCAAATGAATTAAGCTTCAGTTCGGCCTCATCATGGCAAGATATCTATGGCGTACGTAAAGGCGTCGACCCCTTCATTAAGAGTAAATTTTACGATGGGGGTAACTTCGCCGCGGAGGCCCTGTCTATCGTCAGTGAGCGTGATCCCAAGGAGCACGCAGAGATGCGCAGATATCTCGGTACCGCATTCTCCGACAGGTCTCTCAAGTCACAAGAACCGATGGTCGCCGAGTGTGTCGACCGCCTTATCGAGAAGATTGGAACGGTAGACGTAGGGACTCGAGGAACCGACATGGTCATGTGGTTCAACCTTGCCACCTTCGATATCATTGGAAGTCTGGCTTTTGGCAAGGACTTTGGTGGTGTTGACTCGGGAAAAGAGCACTTCTGGGTCTCGATCGTGACCAAGAGCTTGCGAATGGGGGCCCTCGCCGATTGCTTTCGCAGATTTCCGGCGCTCGCCGGCATTGCCCAGACAGTGTTTTCTAGTCTCATTGACAAGCTTCTCAAAGACAGTCGCACCCACCAAAAGTACACTATGGACTTGGTTCAAAGGTTTGACTACAAATACCACTTGGGCAAATGCCATCTAATTATTTTGCAACCCCGAGGCTCATTTTTTACTAGCCGCCTGGCCTCGCACTCGGACCGAGAAGACTTCCTCACGAAGATGATCGAAGCCCGTAATGAGGCGGCCATTTCGGACGCCCAAATTGCAGCACATTCTTCCGACTTCGTGTAAGTTGCCCCAATTCTCAACGGCCTTCCTGAAATTGATCCCTTATCTTTGTTCAGAATTGCCGGTAGCGAGACGACAGCCACTACCCTTTCTTGCATGACATACTACCTGTTAAAGAACCCAGAGATTCTGGCGCGGTTACAGGATGAGGTGCGGTCAGCTTTTGTTAGCTACGAGGATATCACTGCGGCAACGGCGACTCCATTGAAGTATCTCAGAGCCGTGGCACAGGAGGCTATGCGCGTCTATCCTCCGCTTCCTTTCGCTCTTCCCCGTGTGGTACCCAACGGTGGCTGCACGGTTGATGGCCATTTCTTGCCAGGTGGAGTGCGTACTTCCTTTCTTTCTTCACCCCATCCAGATTTGCCTTGGGAAGTCGTAGCTCATATGAGACCATCTCAAGACCACAGTTTCCACCAGTACTTTTGCAGCAAGTATGTCGTCTTCGAACTTCGACGAGCCATGGGAGTTCAGACCAGAACGGTGGCTCGTGGACAACCCAACGGATGACCTCGATGCAAGCCAGCCCTTTTCATATGGAACAAGATCATGCATGGGACGAAGGTTAGTTCCCGAAGAATGAAGTCTGAGGCATGTACTAATCACCAAACGTCGTAGTCTTGGCTGGATGGAAATCCACACAACCATGGCGAAGCTGGTCTATCGGTACGACTTGGAGCTCGCTGATGACAGTCTCGACTGGCACCGGGATTCAAGGATGCATACGTTGTGGGAGAAGCCTCGTCTGATGGTGAAGCTCAAGCCCCGTGTAATTTAATAGCAAGTTGGCAGCTAGAAATAAGTCTTCGCGGGGAAACTTCCGCCTGTTCACATTGTTTCGTCGTGTTCATGATGTTTCAGGATCTCCGAGAGCTACTAGCCCAAGACCAAGGCCTTTGGCTCCGACCACGCTTTGCACCGCGGACACTGTATTCCTCCAAATAAGGCACTACGTGGTTGATAAATGGCGATACGCAGTAAAGTTGGAACTTAAAAGTGCGTGAAATAAAAAATATGTATCATGATTTATTCTCAGTCTGGCGCCTCTTGTAGCTCCTAGCAACCCTCCCAACGCTGAAGCGCACCGGTTGTGAAGGCGCTCGTTCATGTGACTTCAACTAAGATTTCCTCTGCGTAAAGCGGACCATGAGTGCGGGTTTCCACCACATCACATGCAGCTGGCTTTCTTGTTCCCAATTCAATTCTTTGTCAACCAGCTCTAATTCATACTTCCACAGCATCTTGGCCAAGATGAGGTTGATTTCCATGTATGCGAAGCTTGATAGTTGTATTAGCATAGAGTAGCTTGTAGGAAAGGGTACCTTGATGAGAGGTAAGGTCTGTTAGACTCACTTTTGTCCCAAGCAGCCCCGGGGGCCCATGGAAAATGGCTGGCTAGCCTCTCGGACATCGGCGGATTCTGCATCTAGCCAGCGTTCAGGCTTGAAGCTTTTCGGGTCAGAGAAGTACTCTTCGCTATGCGTCAGAGTCCACGCGTGCGTGAAGACCTCGGCCTATAGGCACCGTCATCAGATTTCATGCTTCTTGATTATGCTTTAGGCCACTTACACCAGCTGGGACATAGATATCACCAACTTTCATGCCTGGCGACAATCGTGGAAACCCCTGAGATCCCGGTGCGTACAGCCTAAGACCCTCGTTGATGACGGCCTGCAGGTATGGGAGCTGCCGAGCTGCAGTGGCATTAATCTCCTCGAATGAAGAGAATCTGTCCGTTATTTCCGCTTGGAGTCTTAGCAGGCACGCTGGATTTCGGAGCAGATAGTACGTTGCCGCGGCAAGAAATGTCGCAGTTGTCTCGCCACCCGCAATTCTGTGAAAATATAATTAGCAAGACTTCGAGTGATCCCCACAGGATCTTTAAGTGCTAGAACGTACGTCAAAGTTGACACATGGGCTGTCATCTCTTCTTTACTGATAGCTCCCACTTCGTAACTCTTAACAACGGTGGACAAGAAGTCGTTGCGATTCGACTTTGTGGATAGACGTCTGCAGTGCCAGAATTAATAACTTTGCAATAGCGAGCTGCGACCGAGCATGAGTTTAATGCCTTACTCTTCAACCTTTCTCCGGCTATACTGGGAATTCTGATTTTGGACAGCCAAAGTTGACGGGAAGAGAACGCGGGCTACTCTAGCCACAAACGGTAGGCGGCGGAGGTTGTCAATCAGTGTGATGAAGTATAGATGGCTCACTATAATCTCCGACCAACTGTGTGGCTTTCCTATCATCCGAGGTGGTCAATGATATGATTCTCCGCTCAGCCACCTCCCAGCCAAAGCATTGTGCTTGAAACTCTCTCAAGTTCGCGCCAAACTTACCAGCTTTGACGCTGTGAAAGGATTCGCCAAACGCCATCTCACCCAACGAGTCAAAAGCAATCATTTCAAACCACTTAGTCATATTGAGACCCTCGGACTGGAAGACGTATTCTCCAAGCCGATGTACAAATGCGTCGACTGTCTTGGTAATAATGTCTTCTTGATCCAGCAACATCTTTGTAGAGAAGGCAGCAGAGAGCATTTTGCGCATTTGACCGTGCTTATGAGGATCACGCTCACTTCCGATACATAGAGACTTGAAGCCTGCGCCGTAGATATCGTAAAACTCGCTTTTCACCACCGGTGCTGCGCCTGTGGTTCGGTGGCCGTAAATTGCCTTCCACGACTCCGCTGAAGCGAAGGAGAGTTCGTTGGGAGAGACTCTGACCACAGGTCCTGGTGGAATTTAGTTTGGGGGATCGTATTCAAGGCTGAGGTGTGAAAGTAACCCTTACCATGTTTGCGATGCTGCTCTTGGATGGCGTAGTGGAAGCGGCCAGTCTGAGAGTGATAGATTCGCCAGATCTATGGAGAGAAACTTGAGCATTGCAAGCCAAACATACAGTTAATGTGCACTCACCAGACTGCATCTTCCTAATAGCGGTCCTGGGAACGCGGCAAGCTTATGGAAATACGCATTGTGAATGCCGGCTATCAAGAGATACAAAACGACCTAGGTACGTTAGTCATGAGTGCCAGTAAAGCTGGGTATGTCAACCAAAGCAGCTCTTACGAGACACAATGATAAAACGGCAGCCTTTGCCACGGTCAATTGTATAATTCCCGGTTGAAGAAGGCGCAAGCACTCTTTGAGTGAAATGACTCGATCGAGCATCGCGTCTCTACTCTTGAGCATTCGCCACTATGCTTGATGTGTTTTCTGGCAACTCAGCCAGCTAGATATTGCTGTAAAACTCACAGACCTTACTATTCGTTTTCCGTGTCACCTAGCAAAGGTTTGCGTTGTAGCTTTCACGGGCCCAAAAGACATGTTGGGAGGACAGCGCAGGACTTCGTCTCATCGGCCACTTTCCCCTTCAGGAATGAGGTTTCCAACCATCACCACGCTAAGCCGTTTTCAGTAAATCCCGAGAAATGCATGGAACAGCAAAACTGCTTACACCAGAAACAAGTCAAGCACCGAGCATGACTTTTGATATAAAATAAATCAATATTCGACAGCTCTTAATGGCCGCAAGAGTTCAATCTTCTGCGTTTGAGTGCGGCTCAGTGTGAGTCTCATCAGCGCGATAGCTTGGCCGCCAGTTTTAAGACAAGTTACATGACAGTTCTCAAGTGAGAAATGTCATGATCCGGAACCAGGAGTCGAAAAGATCAGTGCTCGCTTGTTGGTAAATTTGTCCGAGTTATAAGCTCTCAACGCCTGCTTACCTGTACTCCAGTTATACTTTGTAGACATTATCATATCTGGGTTGATGGTCATTAGTGTGACCACGGCAAAATTGCCCAAGCATTGCGCCACAAATTGGCTCTGACAAGCTTTTATGATGCTGCCAAATTTTCGCTTTCCGAGGCAATCTTTCACAAAAACAGGTTTCTTTTCATCCATAACTCATAAAAAGACCGGCCAAAATTGCCTCGCAGGCACAGCAGTGGCGGAAACCCGTACGAATGAACCGCGCCTCAACACGAACCTCCTCCGCATCAACGCCCCAACGGTGTGTGCGATCCGGAAAACTGTCTGCGTTTGGCAGTAAGCTCGTGGTTCACGTCAAGAGCGGCAACATCCAATCTTTTCCATCTCAACAATCTCCCTCGGCTATGTCGTATGGGTGCGGCAATGCACCCGGGTGGGACCACTTGATTGGGGGAGCCGTGCATGAACCCGACTTGACGACTTCAGATAAGTTCCCCGGGGGACCATCACGAACCGTGAAAGCCACGTTCTCGCAAGACATCCGCATTGCGGGTAGCTTTCCCTCCGACGGGTTCACTGCCGCGGACCGTTATTGAGATGGATTAGCTTCTACCGAAGCAAAACCCGTATAAATCAGCTAGAACACCTGTTGTCTGGCTGATGAGAGGCTTATTGACAGTTTCTATCAGTAAGATAATTTCAGCATATTTTCTGGTTGTATCTCAGGGAAAGAGTCTCACACACCGCAACTCGAACTGCACATCATGTCACTCAGTGTCACAACCGCACACGACGAAGTCGCTGGCATTTCTCCCATCCCTCACCTCGACATCAAAGCACCTAGCGTCGCACAAGACGACACACGAGCAACACCGCCTTCGAACGATGGGTACCTCCGTTTCAACCCAGTCATCGTCATGCTCATCGGCTACCTCGAACAAGTCATTCCAGGAGGCCTAGACTCCGCAGTCCGCTCCGCCCGCGAAAAGAACCCAGCCTTCATGTCAAAACTAGCCATCAAAGACGCCCACTCCTTCCTGACTTTCGCAAACGACCTCCTGAAATGGGTACCCCGCGAGAGCTTCGAAGGCAAAGACATCTACGACATCCTCTGCACATTCTACTTCGTCCTAGACCAACCCCCTCTCCGCAAGCTCCAGACCCCGATCCGTCCCGACTCTGAAGGCCTTACCTGGCTATCCTCCTGGATTGTTGTATACGCCCAACTCGTAGGCCAATTCCTAGACACACCCGCCTCCATCACCGCCTCCTCCCTACAATCCTTCAAGAACTCACCCCCGTACCGCTTCCACGAAGCAGAAATTCCAAAAGGCGGCTTCCGCACCTTCAACGCCTTCTTCACCCGCCGCCTCAAACCAGGCCTCCGACGAATCGCCTCCCCCGACGACGACAGCGTCATAGTCTACCCAGCAGACTGCACCTACGACAACTCCATCGCCAATCAAAGCGTGGCCAGAATCAGCCCCCACGGCTCCGTCGAGATCAAAAACGTCCGCTGGCCGATCAGCATGCTCCTCCAGGGCAGCGAGCACGCCTCCGACTTTGACGGCGGCATCTGGATGCACGCGTTCCTGAATACCACAAACTACCACCGCCAACACGCGCCAGTGTCGGGCACGGTGCTGGAAGCCAAGAATATCCAGGGCATGGCGCACCTCGAGGCTGATACTGTAGGCGGCGGACAGGTCCGCATGATGGGCGGGGCGGACGCTTCGGAGAACCCGGGGTATCAGTTCCTTCAGACGAGGGGGTTGGTCGTGATTGAGAATCCTGTGCTCGGCAAAGTTGCGTTCTTGCCCATCGGGATGGCCATGGTCTCGTCTGTGGACTTATTTGTCGCAGAGGGGGATGTAGTGAGGAAGGGGGACGAGGTTTCGTGTTTCCGGTTTGGGGGGTCGGATGTCATTTGCATTTTCCAGGAAAAGGCTGGTTTGAGGGTTGAGGATTTCGTTCCGACGAGTGGTGAGTTTTCAAAGTATGGGAGTATCTTGGCAAGAGCGCCGACGGGAGGTTCACGCACGTGAGTCAGGCTTTCCAAGAAAAAGAAAAGTCATCTACCGTCTAGATATGTACTGGGATCGTTTCCTTCAAGATCTTGCTCTAGGCTGGCACCTAGAGCTGACAGACGTAAGGAAAGCTGCTCAACTTCACGATGCTTGGGACTAGGAGTTCTTGATTCGAACACATCACAGCCATGGAATTAGAGACAAAACAAACAGAACATAATCAAAAAGAGAAGTTGCGTCAATCGCTGACGGGAATTGAGCCCGACGTGGCTGGTGATTGTTAGTGACATGTTCTAGAGAACATCAGGGATGTATAGGAAGCAGCTTACGGGTCGAACCCACAACCTTGAGATTAAGAGTCTCACGCTCTACCGATTGAGCTAGCCGGGCAACCGGCGCATATACTGGGGTTGTTGAGTTCCTCGGGCCCAGAATGGCTTCATGTTCTGAGGTTTGCCAATTTATGCTTCTGTTAGAGTGGGGAGGATAGAAAAGAATTCAGGAAACCCCCCGTTGTGGGTGTAGTAGGGTGGGACACTACAACAAAGCGCGCATCGTGATGGATGTGGGGAGTGGATGTCTTCAGGGTTGGGTTATGTTCAATATTAGCTTAGATTTAGCGTGCTTTCAGCAAAGTGGTTCACTCGCAAGTTGAATGGATCCCAGAACCATTTCCAGTGGGGGAGGCTCATCTCCCTCTCTTTCATTTATCGGCAACGTTGTCATAAGGTAGCGTTCACAAACAGCACAGTCATGTTACTCAACGATAAGACCACGAACGAGAGCATGCTGAAAGAACGCAGATAGTCTCTATTAGCCGCTACGCAGGCACTCAAGGCCGTGCGGAGGATGCTCGCTTGGAAGGGAATCGCCCTCCATGCGCTAGCTATCCGGGCAACCCCAAAGAAGGGATTCGATTACTGAGTTTTGAGAAAAAAGAAGAGTCCCATCGTTCACCGACCCAAATGTCCCCCTCAAACACCCATGGTCAAGGCCACTCAAGGCTCGGGTTGGCCTGCTAGCCTTCCTGTCCTAATCCTAGCGAGAACTGCCTCTAGTGGCCCTGTTGATGCATCCGTTCTGCATGGCGCGGAACATGACGCGACGGTGAAGTGCATCGGTCGAGGATGCAGAGCTCTCAGATGAGGCAACGAGCCTGGAACTCTCGCCAGACGGACCACTCTAGTGTCCTCTAGCCAAGAACGCAGGTGCGCCGCTGCCGATGATGGGGCTTCCGATCTCGCCAGGTGCACCTACGGGCCTGTGGGCAGGATACGCCATGTCATTGAACTCGGGCACCCATCGCATTGAGTGCTGCCCTGGGCCGTTTGCGTCCCATTGGACCTCAAAGGTGCCTCCGCCATTCTGCAGGTTGCCTTCCGTTTCGGCGAGAGCCAACAGATCATCTTCAGGGATAGACTCAGTCCTACTGAGCTGGTCAACCTCTGCCTTCACAGCTGCTAGATCAACAAAGGACTCTGAGCTCTCGGGGTTGCGGGCTTGCAGTTCCTTGCAGGCGCGACACAGCATGAGCCGAATCGTCACCGAACGAGGATTTCCAGCCGTACGGATCGGGCCCAGCGAAGGGATAGGGGGCATCATAGTAGGGCTTCCCCAGGTCGAGTTGCCCACTCCGGGGGCCACGGCGTATGACATTGGTGAGGGACCCCATAAGCTATTGTTGATGCTAGAGAAACTATTGTCGAATGGCAGTGGAAAGGCTGACCGCTGCACCTGGTTACGGTGCCTAGCCGCATTGATTGCCGCGCTCATCGGGTCCGATGCATCATCTACCAGGACGCTACTGCCAAGATGCTGTTGGTTTGTGAAGTCCTCTGATGGCTCATTTCGATGTCCCTGAACCACACTACCTGGTCGTCCAATGGGTGCTGGCCTGCCGATGGGTTGCGTTGGAATTGGCGAGGAAGCTGGGTCGAAGCTGCCGGAATGTTGTCTCGAATGTGATCCAGGTCCTGGTGCCATATTTTGCATATGGTCACCCATGGGCTGTGAGAATCCAGGAGGTGGGCCGGGCATGAAGCCACGCCCAGCTGGCCCATTAAGACCTGGCGGGCCGGCCATCATGCCTAGAGGGGGAGGAGGTCTGCCGAACCCGGCAATACCAGGCGGACCAAATATATTTGGGTCGGGCAGGCGATTTCCCAGGCCTGGCGGCGGATTGAAGCCGGGTGGAGGCATGCTCATAGGCATACCAAAAGGGCCAGGCTGCATCGGACCTTTCATGTTTGAAGGTGATATGGAATCAGGATGGGGTAGCGAGTTTACGGTCGCTACGCTAGTCTTCCTTGAACCGATCGGCCCAGGACTCATGTGGCCAGGTGTCGCAGGGTGTGGCGATGGGTTCTGGCTGGCAATAGAGCCTGACCGCGAGGCTTGGGATTCAGGCAGGCTGGTGTCCAGGGGCTGAGAGGCATGCTTGGGACGGATTGGTGTCGGAGCTTGGGGAAGAGCCGGCGTTGCAACGGGTATCTTGGGGGACGCATAGGATGCTGGGTTGGACGGATGTGTCGGGATCGGTACTGGGTGTTGCGATAGTCGCCGGCCTGATGTGGGAATAGGAATAGGAGCAGCAGCAACCGTGGCAGCTTTTTGGACAGCCTTTTCCTCCTGCTTGATGCGATCCTTGCTTTCCTTCTCAGCCTTGGCCTTGGCCTCCTTGTCGCGCTTGGCCTGTTCCTGCTTCTCTTTGCGCTCACGGAGCTCCTTGTCCTTCTGGTCTCGGGTTTCCTTTTCGCGCAATCGTGCTTCTTCCTTGAGCTTCTGGGTCTTCTCGCGAGATTCGCGCGCTTTGCGTTCTTGCTCCGCGCGCTTCTCTTGCTGTTCCTGGAGTCGACGTTGCCGATCGGTCTCTTTGCGAAGGCGTTCTTCTTCTTCGAGTCGCTTCTGCTCTTCCTTCTTTCGACGTTTCTCCTCCGCTCTCGATCTCTGCTCTTCTGCCTTCCGCCGCTGCTCCTCGAGTCGAGCGGCCTCCTCTGCGGCCTTCTCAGCCTCCTTCCGCGCCTTCTCCTCGGCCTGTTGCTGCTTCTTTAGCGCGGCCTTGTCCTTGCGCTTCTGGTTCTCCTTGGCTTTCTTAGCCTTCTTCTGAGCGTTTTGCCGGTTTTCCTCCTCGAGCTCCTCGATGAGCTGTTGCTGGCGTTGCTTGGCGACCATGTCTCGATAGGCTGTCAGGACCCGTTGCTCAAACATTCGAGCGGCGAATATTTGGAACATGCGACGACCCTCTTCCATGCGCTGTTCCTCGGTCATCGTGTCCTGATGATGACAACAGTAATGCTCAGTACTCGAGTGTTTATGGTCATATGTGTATTGAGAGGAGCTCACTTCTTCATCCTCGTATTCCTCTTCTTGACTGTCATCATAGTCCTCATCCTCCTCCTCGTCTTCGTCGTCATAGTCGTCTTCGGGAGGAGGATGGTTATGATTCGAGTAAGAGCCGTTGGCGGGATGAGCGTAGCCGCGAGAAAAGTGCTCCTTGGCGTCCTCTTCTCGGGCCATGCGGCGCTCGGCGAGCTGCTCCATCATTTCGATGAAACGCTTGCCGTCGTTTTTGAGGAGGTCATCCGCAACGGTGAGTATGCCGCCTAAGTCCATGTTACCATATCTGCAGAGTAGGGAGTCCAGAAGCTGCATACCCTTGACTTGCAGGCTGTTCCCAAACGTCAAGAAGTCGGCAACGTCTCGATCGTGAGGGTGAGTATCTTCGGGGGGTTCGTCTTCGTCGCTGTACTCGTCGTCTTCTTCGTCTTCCTCTTCTTCCTCCTCCTCCTCAAGATCCTCGTCCTCGTCGCTGTACTCCTCCTCTGGCTCGTCCTCGTCGTCATCGTCGCCCACATGTTCCACTATACGGCCACGTGACGGCGGTTGGCCTGTGTAGGATGACGGAATGCGTGAAGGTCGCAAGGGGAATTCGCGGTGAGGGGGCAGAATATGCGGCCCTTCACCGTTGTTCGCAAAGGTCTCGAGCTCCTCATAGTAAGCGTCGTACAGGCCTTCGAGTTCCTCCTCAATAGCGGTGCGCTTCCTGCCGCAAACAGTACAGCTGCATGTATGCTTTTGCTGCTCCTTCATCTTTTTCAGGACGGCGTCCTTCTCGACCTTGACTAGTGACTTGCGCTCATCTTCGCCGAGACCTAGCCAGAACTCTTTGATGCGTTCCCGCTCCTCCTGCGAGCTGGTGTTCCAGATCTTATCCTTAGAGATACCAGGGCCACGGGGCGTCAATGGCGAGTGGGAGTGAGAATGAGGAAACGGAACGCTGTCATACTGATTGTTGGCCAGCTGCGGGTTCTTTCCGTTCTTCTTCTTCTTCTTTTTGGACTTTTTGGATTTGGTCGCGGAGAAGCCGTTAGCATGTGGCCGGTCGTCGGTAGAGTGATGGTCTTCGGGCTCGTCGTCGCTGGACTCCTGATCCTCGTCATCTTGGGCAACCTGAGGTTTGGACGCGGGCGCGCCAGGAGCAGGACTCGGGCGTCGTCCGTTTGGCGGTTGTACGGCGGCCTGCTCGGCAGCAGCTTTGGCAGCAGCCTTTGCCCGACGCTTCTGCTTCTTGCGATTCACAGTAGGGGCTGAGGGGTCAGCACCGTTGGTGTCGAGGGTCTGAACGCTGGGCGCCTTTGCCGACGAGGTCGGGGTGGAGGGTTGAGAGGGTTCGGCGGAGGGGGGGCCTTTCGGGACGGTGATAATCTTGGAGCCATCCTTGTTTGTGTATCTCGCGGTGGACTTTGTATTGGGTGACGCTGGCGCCTGAGCTGCCGGCTGGCGGTGGTTGGCCGGCATTTCGAGTCTCTGCTACGAAGCAAGCGACGTCGATGTCATAGAGAGGGATAGATGAAGGGTGGGTTGTGGTTGTGTTTGCGGTGGGGGAGTAAGCGCTGGATTCGGGTTCGGCGAGAGGGAGAGAGCGAGAGAGTTGAAGACAAGCTCGAATTCGGCGGTCGATCGGGTTCGCGAATGAGGCGATGCTGGGCGAGGTAAAGCTGTGTGGAAAGATGCGTAAGCAAAAATAAAACCACAGCTGCCCCTCTTCGCAATGACGCTCAAGGTGTTCGGGGAGATTGTGTGTGGTTGAAGTTGGGTGGGCGTTTGTGGGTAGCGGCTCGCGAAAGTGGCAGGCGGGATGTAGCGCGCTGGGCGGGCTTTGGGCGGGCTGAGGGTGGTGGTGATGAGGCAGGACTCACAGGTGGAGGCGAATATTATTCGAGATGGGGCGCCGGGGCAGCCACACTTGTGTCTTGCCAAGGGAACAAACAGTCCGCCGTGAAGGTGCAGCACGGAAGGCCGAAATAGTAAAAGGGAATGATTTTTGTTGTTTTTTTGCCTTGTTTCTTCTATCGATATGCTTCCTCTTTTCGCCCTCGGAAACACCACCTTGCAGGTTGATAGTAGTTCAACTTGAAAGGCACACGAATCGCAGTGCAGTCGCAAGGCTGGTGGTGGTGGGCTTGATTGGGGCTGATGAGTGTGTGACAAGCAGAGCGCGGGCCGATGATGAGTGCCTCTGTGTGGTTCGTTGGTCGCTAAGTTCCAAGGTTAGGTACCTTTGGATGGATCTTTAGGTACCTTGGAAAGAGCAATTCGAAATGAGTTGGGCAAGAACGACCTCAATTATTCATCGGAAGGAAGGAGGAAGGGTTGAATGAATTGAATTATCCGCTGTTTGAAGTCTTCCCCTTTCCATCAATGGGAAACCAGAACAGCCACCATCATACGGTATACCTAGGCAAGCGACAATACCAATGTCATGAAAGTGTAAGAAAGGATGTACCTCCAGACCTCTGGTTCAACAGATGCGTGTCGTTGTTCGTTCCGCTATGGGCGGAGGGAGGGATTGAAGGGAGAGTGGGATTACATGTCAGGCCCAAGTCACTCATCGGCAAGTTTGGGTGGGAGAAGTACATCACAGGGAGGGGGAAGTGCCAGGTGCTGAGGGACCTGAAGCAGGGGCCTTACGTACCTACCCAATCGCCTATCGCCTGGGCCCTGGGGTGCACTTCACCGGGCTCCCATCAGGAACTTGGAAGCCCGGGTCAGTACGGAGTTCCTTCCTCAGGTTGGTCCCATCAATCAGATTTCAAGGCCAAAAGAGGTGAGAGGTTTGTGCCGTCACCCACGTGACTGTTTGCCCAGTGGGTCCAATTGCTTTTGCGCTTTTGTGGGAACCCAACAGAGCTGACCGTGCTGAGTGGCTGACAAAGCCTGGAGGGAAGAGCAGTAACCGTCAGCTGCAACCTCTATGGCCTTTGCTCGTGATTGAGCTTCTTGCCTGAGGCTCTCCCGGAAATTGGGGGACCTGAAGATCAGGCTTTAGTGGATTCCCATGTTGAGATCCAAAACCCGGCTGACATAACCAGATACCGATATTCACCCTTGGGCTAGAGCTTACCTAAGGCTTGTCTGTGCCTGACGGAATGAGAACCCGGAAAGTTATTCGATTTCGAGGCCCCTGCGATTCAAGGCCCAAACACCAAACAACAAACACCGCGAGGCCCTGTCACCTGGGAATCGGTTCAGGACCTGATGTCATCTCAACACCTACAGCCTCTGTCCAGCTAGCTGTATGGGTAGCTCCTGGTTTACCTTTTGTCCCACGCATCCAAAGCACCCATGAAGCTTGGCCGCCGCCATTGACCGCCAAGTGCAGCATCAACAGCGTACATCATCACAGGAGACGACCGCCCTTCTTTCAAGTCTGCCATGATCAGATCGTCCAAGTGTCTTTCCATCTGGGTATTATATGCAAGCGAGCAATAGCTAGCTGTCTCGCAGGCCTACCCTTAGCAAAGTTTGGCAGCTCCCTGCGGCTCCCAAACTGCCCCGCCGTCAAACGAGTTAGTCATCTGTTTGGCAACATTCATTGTCACAAGCTTCGTGACACAAGCTGCTGGCAACGCAACCTGCTGTTCCACCTAAGCTCTCACAAGCTTCCTCGTACAACACATGATACTCCCCAATTCGTCGACGCGATTGGTCTTCCGTCCCATAAACCGTCAAACTCTAGGCACGCCAAGAAGGGGAGACACGCAAACCAATTCAACTTTGACGGATCAAGAATCAACACTGCCACTAACAAAGGGCGGTAGTTGGGCTCTGTGTCTGTCAAGTGTCAACAGACTCTCGCCCTGCTAAAATATCTATTGGATATGCTCAGCCGTTCCCGGGACAGCCGGCGGTAGTTGAGGTCAAGTACCTCGAGCGATAGCGGCACTCGGAGGTTGAGGAGGAGGGCCATCCCACCCGTTCCGAACCATCCGGCATTTTCAGCCTCTAACCCCCGGAACCGCGCGGCCACCGACCGTTGCGGAGACGGACGGCCTATTGAGATCTCAGTCCCGGCGGCTATGCCATACTGTGAGGCTACGGGTTACCGGGGATTGCTATGCTTTCAGGCCGACTGTCTCCCTCTCCCAGCAATGGCCTCAATCATGATATCATCAAGATATGTCGGGGACGATGAACGCCGGCCAAAGTGTACAGTTATGGAAAAGTTGGACGTTGTGGATTCCCGCTCGCCGATCAGGTTCGGCAACGTGCACGCATCAGACAGGTGTGACCGGCAGATCCTGGACGGGAGCGCATCCTAATATTGCGGGCAGCGATGCAATGGAACACCATTCTCCTGGACCTCACGCGAACGGTAAGTCAGGAACATTCTGCCTCGCAAGGAGACCCGTATGATGTATTCCGTCGCCGTGCGACTAGCAGTCTCGGGGGTCGTTCATGACCCGACCAGAGTTCCTCGCAAACGTCTGGTTGTGTACTATCATTGGCTGCAGGTGACGACCTTGAACCAGAGAACGCTACACAGTAGGAACGCTCGAATGCCAACACAGCCTCAATCAGCCATGCCATGGTAGAGCGGGCCAGGCGGGGGGCCCACCGCGGAAGTTGGGTCCACAATGCTGTCTGTATGGATGTTTACGGATACATGTTGGCTGAGAAGCGACGAAACGAGAGCGAGATGATGCAAAGGGTCTCTCTCTCCGCCCATTCTGTCAACCGTCTCACGGGATCCGATGACGAAACGAGCTTGTTGACCCCGAGGTGGACACGAGCCCATCAGTACTTCGGTAAATTCCAGGACTTCTCGCCAAGCAGTGACTGCGCAGCAGCTGTGATCGACTAGGCCATGAAGAACCCAGCTCATTGGCGAAGTCACGTTAAAACTTCAAAGACGCCAACGTGCCTACCAAGTCTTTTGCTTGGATGAGCTTGACACCAATGACCTCGCGCCAGCAACTCTCAATGCCGACACCATTGGGATGGGCTTGCCAAGCGGGTAAGCAAATTCCCCCTTTATTTTACGACGCTCTTGATATGGCATGCCGGGTACTTGCAGATTGGCTGCGAGTTATCTAGGTAGAAAGTCGGGTGCCACAAGACGGCACGGCTTGGCGACACAGCCTATGGCGACGAGTTGCACAGAGACACCCACACAGCACCGCGGGATGGTTGGATGTGTGGGATGCCCGCCGCACAGCAAAGCCAGAAACATGGCGGATGACGGTTGGGGAGCGTGAGAGGGGATGGGATGGGGCAACTATGATTCGGGAAACAAGTGCCCGGTGGGTGGCGGATTAATCCCAATGACTAGGAATGTGAAAAAGGATGAGACATACGGCTTGCCGGCGCAATCGGTGCCGTTACGGCCAACCGATGTTTGAACGGTTGATGCTTTATCGTCCTCTTCCCTCCCGTCTCTTCTTGACTTCTCAAACGTGGAGGTACGTACGACATGATGTAAGTAGCTGACGATGACTTTGATGACAGATGCTCAACTCAATGCCTGACAGTGGGAAACCTGGAACGCTACACAGTAAGAGTCGCGAATCGTTCAAAGTCGGCGATCGACGTCTGAAGAAACCTTGGCAACAATTTGCGTTGTTTCCCAAATGTTGAATCACCCTTCCTCTTTCAAGCTACAGGCTTTTGCGCCAGAAACTTGGGATGTTCCAGGACAAGGGGCGGACGATATTGGGGGGAAACAGATCGGGAGTACCTTATTTTAGAAAACTGGGCGCACGGCGGCGCAAAGAAAAAAAAAATGGAGGGGCGTCCGGAGGTCGGGTAGGTTAGCTCAGCCGTCAGCGGTAAAACGTCCGTTCAAAGGGTGTCTTTGGAGACGGCGCCCGTATTTTGAGATCGTCATTGCCAGACCGGGTTGACATTTCTTTGAAAGGTTGATACGTCAAGTGGGATACTGGCCATATTGCTGAGAAGACTGGAAAAGTTTTCTTGGTCTTCGTCTCGCCTTGCTGGTCTATTACGGCATACTGAGAACGTAAGGAAAGTCGAATAGTGATTTTGGAATACGTGTGTGTACCATACCACAGCCCTCCAGGGCCAGGGTCCATCGAGGCCAATTCAGTGTCAACGGATAGCTCAGGGTAAGGTAGCATCCGTAGTGCCTTACTACCTTGGACTAGACAAAGTTCCGCCTGTCTGTCATCGCTCCGCATGATGGCGTGGGATCACAGACTGGTTCGTGCGAGAGAAGGAGTGAGTGAGAGTGAGAGAGAGTCATTGACAATGACGATTGAACCAGCAGCCGGAGCTTTGGACCTGCTGCCTTCTTCCCCCTCCCCAGCCGCGTCAACAGAAAAGCGTTTTGCAACCAGCAGCGACTCAGGTCTACCTTACCTTGAATGGGGAGGGCGCCGGCAAGCCAAAAAAAAAAAAAAAAAAAAAAAAAAAAGAAGAGATGGGGGGGGGGGGTGCTAGGACGCGGACTTTGATGGGCCTACCGTGGTTTGGGGGCTGGGTAAGGACTCTGAGTCTGAGGTGAGGGTCTGGGCCGGACGGGCCTCAACTCCAGAAACGGTACCATCCGTGTGTCATCGTCCCTTTTTTTCTTTTCTTTCCTTGGTGGTATTGTTCAATGTTCCCTGTGGACGAAAAGGTGCTAAGGTAAGGTATTTGCTGTGCCACAACACGCACGGCTTGGCGCACCCGCACTTGTTAGGTCATGGACACTGGACAGAGAGAGACCCGAACTCAGGTCCAGAGTCCAGGACACTACGGAGTAGAGAGAATTGAGTTGAGGGAACCCGCACTGCCCTGACAGACAGAGAGAGAGCATCGTCCATTCTCAGGGTAGCTTCCGTGGTGGACTTGTCCCGGTCTTGTGTTTCTTGCTGGCTGCAAGGTACACGATACGTAGCTACGCAAGCCAAACATCTTGAGAGAGGAAAAGTAAAAAAGTACAGACGATTCTCGTTGCTGTACGAATACTTTGCCAAGGTACTTTTACCGGGCTGTTGGTCTCTCTTTCGTCTCTTTACAAAAGTCCCTTGGCATTGTTGTGTTATTCTTCTCACCTACTTAGTCCACACAAGGCATCTACCTATCTATCCGTTATTACGCCCTTTCTCGGATTCCTATCAGCATCCTCGAGTGAGAAAGACACTCGAACTGATTGATCAACTCGCCAAGATCGAGAAAGCAGCAGGAAACAAAACAAGCTTGGCAACAGTTGACAGCAACGGTGGGATACCGCCTTCACTCTCGCGCTCGCCCGTCTCTGTGCTCCGTCCTCCGTACCCCCCGGGCCACATTTTCTCTCCAAGTTCCCCCTTTGCCTGTCTGGCTCCCGCTCGCTCTATTATTTAGCTCCGGCTCCAGCAGTTCTTCGGTTTTCCCACAGAGGCATTCCTATTTGTAGCTTTACGGAGTATCCGTACCACGGGCAGCATACATACTTGGATCCTTTCCCTTGCCATTTCTTCAACGCGCCATTACCCCCTACGTGGAATTTCTTCAGCTCGTATTCCCAGCCCAGCTGCACCGCCCGGCCTCACCAGTTCCTGTTCGCCCCGAATCAACCGTTAGCCAGGTCGTCTCTCTTGGTTGCTCCCCCGGAACGAAGGAAAAGAAAGGCAAGAATCGAAGAGAGAGGAAAAGGATACAAGAGCGCCCGCTCTCTTCGCCGTACATTTACCTCCAAGTTTCTAAGAAAGTAATCGCCCATCGGCCTGCACTGACCCTCGGGCCCGTTTCTTTCCAGCTGCATCTTTCTCCTCCACTACGGAGTACCTTACATTTGTATATTTGCAATCCGTTTGCCAACAGCTTTAAGCTCACTGTCGTCGTCCACCACCGCCGCAAATCCCACGACCACCACAACTTTCTTCCTTCTCTCCCCTTCCTCATCAGCTTTCCATTCTTTCCACTTCCTCCCGACATATCCGCCATTACTCACTCACTCACTCCGCATTCCCTTTTTGAGATCATATCTCCACCCAACACTGAAAAGGAGACGAACGAATTAATCCCACGGCACCCACCTCCTCAAACACCCAAACATTGTTTACTGGCACGTCCCATTTGTCGCCTTCTCCGCCCCCCGACGCTGCTACCGCTCCCACCCCGATACGACCCTGCGACGTACGGATCCCAAAAAGACGAACCCACCGATCGCCACTATCGACAACCTCGTCCAACACCCCCGATTCGCAGCGCCCACGATATTTTCTTGGGTCTCTTCTCGATCTTTTCGACGCCGTAGTGCTCGACGTCGAAAATCGATTCGGACGAACCTCGATCCGCCCGTCAATTGACCTCGGGTCACCTATCCCTTCCCCCCCGACGACCCTCCCGCCCGATTCACAACCCCAACCGCAGTCATGGCAGCAGCAAATCCCACCAACGTTATTCGGAGGTACGTCGCCTGTTCGATTTCCGTCGATCGAGAGACTTTTCGGCCTTCGCTGCTGGCCTAACTCTCGGCTCGCCACGCGCAAGGCTCGCAGCATCTCTGTCTGCCTCTACCGAGCAGGCGCGGCCTGATCTCCGTGCCCCATTCATTGGGGGTTTTTTTTTCCCCTTTACTGACATGCTGCCTCCAGGAAACTCGTCATTGTAGGGGACGGTGCTTGCGGAAAGACTAGTTTGCTTAGCGTCTTCACACTTGGATATTTCCCTACCGTACGTTCAGTTTAACAATCCTCCCCAATAGTCTGATCTCGAGTCTCAGGATCTTTGCTAACAATTGGTATTTTGCAGCACTACGTGAGTACCACCAGCGACGCCTCTCTCCTCCCGGCGACCGATTTTCTAACGAGACTTGACCCATTAGATTCCTACCGTCTTCGAGAACTACGTAACAGATTGCAGAGTAGATGGAAAGTCGGTGCAGCTTGCGCTATGGGATACCGCCGGACAGGAAGACTACGAGCGGCTACGTCCCCTGGCCTACTCCAAGGCTCACGTCATCCTGGTCGGCTTCTCCATCGACACGCCCGATTCACTCGACAACGTCAAGCACAAGGTGGGTTTGAAAATGGTCTAGGAACTTCAAGATAAGAGGGCTGGGCAGCTGACAATAGGCTACAGTGGGTGGAAGAGGTTACTCGACTCTGCGAAGGCGTCCCCATCATCCTCGTCGGATTGAAGAAGGATCTCCGCGAGGATCCCGTAGCGATTGAGGAAATGCGAAAGAAGTCGATGCGCTTTGTCACACACCAAGAGGGCGATGCCGCCGCCAAGGAAATTGGAGCCCGGAAATACCTCGAATGCTCCAGTTTGAGCGGCGAGGGCGTCGACGATGTCTTCGAGGCCGCCACTCGCGCCGCCTTGTTGACCTTTGAGAAGGGCGAGGGAGGCGGCTGCTGCGTCATTCTGTGAAGGAAGCAAACCCCCATCCTCCACCATTCACTATTCTGCCCTTTCGACCGACAATGAGTGCAGGCACGACGCAGCGAACTGAGGAAAACGTGGGCGAAATTCAGCGGGAGAGATCAGGCTGGATCACAGAACCATGAGACTGCGGGCTACTTACCGCGTGTGAACATCACGCCGGTCCGATCCAAGAAGCACAGGATCAGCCAGCTCCCACAAAGTATTGGGGGCAGCTGGCTTACCCAAAAGAGCCCTGAACAGGCCTGGGTGAATGTCACTTGGTTCCGTACCTAAACTCTCAGCAAGCTCGCCTGCCTGGTTTACATACCTTTTACATCAATCGCAGAAAAGCATGCGAGTTCAACTTTAATCCTCTCTTTTTTTTTTCTTCCCCTCAGCGGCGTTACAAACAGCAGGAACAGCGCAAATCACTCAGCGGAAACGTTATTTATGGAAAATTTTCAGGGACTAACCCTTGTTTTTTTCTTCTCCATTGTCTGTATTAATAGGACAGCAACCACATAGAACGGAACGCACCCAAAAGTTCAAGACTAGGAAGCTGGTATTGGGAGCTTTGGAGTATCCACGTTCTGCTCCCTATCAATGGGAGACGGCAGTCACTTCACGCAATAAAACTGATTAAAAGTTTCAAACCCCCGTTTTTCAGAACCTTTTCCAAAACGATAATTAGTGACATGTGTTGTTTTCTTCCATTTTATACACTAGTTCATACAACAGATAGTATGCTACAGCGGAAATGACACTACCTTAGGCGTGTCTAGATTTTTGGTACAATGCTGGTGAGCAAACATCTCGACACCTTGTCCACCGCTACTTTTTCCATCCCATCTACTCCCCTTTTATCCTTCCTTTGATTTTCATAGACTGTTCGTACTCTTGCAACGACATCGTCTACCGCTTCCACTCGTGGTTCCACGCCTGCCGGGCAGGTGTCTCGCTCTGGTAGCGCGCGTACTCGATAGGCACGGCATTGGGTCCGTAGACGCCCTTCTTCTCCTGAGCGACACGGTACAGCCACCCTTCCTCCCTGGTTCCGGGACCAGCCGTGGTACGGAGCTGCTCGTTGGCGGTGTACATGCTCTGCTGAATGCGGAGAAGCTCCCTCTCGCGGGCCTCGCGCTGCTGGCGCTGGAGGAGGAGCCAGGCGCGGTGGATGGTCCAGTGGCGGAGATGGCGGTTACGAGCCATGCGCAGCGCCGGAGGCGCCTCGGCGAAGAGCTGCTGACGGATGTTTGCTATACGGGCGACGTATTCTGGGTTGATGACGTTGTCCGACTTGGATTTGCGGGCGGCGAGGGAGGTTGTGGTTGAGAGGGAGCGAGTTGTCGTTGTGGTCATTGTGGTGGCGGCAGGTGTTGAGGTGGTGAGGGTTTGGCGGAAGCCGCTGCGGAGGGGTGCGAAGGAGGCCATCGTTGTGATTTTGGGTGAGGTTTTAGCTCAGATAATGGCTTAAGACGAGGCTGGTATATCAATCGTGGACGGGATCGGAAGTGGGAGGTGTCGGGCGGTGTTTAGGAGGACGGCCTCGTCGTTTCTTGAGCGGAGGTTCCGGATCTGCCACGCGAGGAGTCTCGTTCTTCTGTATGCACTGCTGTTGATGACGCTTCTTGCGCTTGGATTGTGCGACGACTATTTCGGCTTGGATATCGTCTTTAATTACGACCGGGTGGTCAATTGGAGGAGTGTGTTGGGCTTCGGGTTCTGGCTCGTCGAGGTACCGTAGTTTGATTCGGTGGTGCGCGGCTATGACCTCGTCGGGGATCGGGACGTTGGCGAACACGTCGTGGTAGTCGTTTTCAAGGGAGAGCTGTCGCGGTGTTGTTCGAAGAAAGATGGTGCCAGCGTCGGGGTGGTGTCTGCCCGTGTAGTGTGCGTAAAGCCCGTGGATTGACTACCGAGAAGATCGTCGTTAGTGAGGTGAAGGTCGGGCGATGAAGCTCAGTGGGAAATTTTGGGAATGGGGAATGGAGGATGGAGGATGGTTTATCCGGGCTCTGCAAGCTGGCTTGTGCCTGCAGGCAGGAGTGGATGGGATGGGGGGGTTTAGGCCCCCCCTGCAGCGCATGACATTCTAGCGGGTCCTGCTCAGACAATTTGGAGCTGTGCAAGTTATCCGCCATCCGCATTCAACTACACTATTCCCATTTGCCATGTAATCAAACCATCTTTGACGACAAGGAAACAGGAAGAAGGAAGGGCCTGAGGACCCGGAAATCTTTTGCGACCTACCGGGCAGATTGATGCATCATACACCAGAGCAACATTATACTCCTTCTGCTCAAAAACGAGTTCTCTGGCCTCCATTTCGTCCTCCATTTGGTGTAATCTCGCAAGATTATTGAGCACTGCACCTGGTGACACTGGAACTGGACACCGATTGAATGACAAGATCCTGAAGAGAGGCTTTAAAGTCTCTATCAGACCCTCGCAGTTACGAGCTGTATCTCTGGCCCAGAGCCCGTGAGCGTCGTTGTACATGGCCCAGACGAGCCAGGCAAACTCCCGTACGACTGGGCTGGAGTCGAGGAACCGCGCGTATGTCGCCGGGAAGCCTCCACCGAATTTCAACATCCATAACGTGCAGATCCTCAGGAGGAGCTCATCGGATGGGTCGTCGACGCGGTTGAGCAGTTCCATGCACTCTGCTGGAAAGTCCAGAGTCGACGAGGAGGATGAGGGGGAGAAGGCGATGAGGGTCACGAGCTGTGCGAGAACCTTTGGTAGGAGTATCTGCAAGCGCATGACATCCTCCCTGGGATCGTGGGGGACGCGGCCACGATAGGCGAAGTTCCGCCCATCGTAGGAGAAGATCGGGTCTCCCGCTGCGTGGCCGAGGAAGTACCTCGTGTATGCCAGCGTCTGGGCGACCCTGAGTATCTTGCTTTCTTCCCCATCCCCCTTCCCCGCCTCCGGCTTATTCAGACTCGTATCACCTCCAGAGAGTGCGGCGGTCGGAGAGGAGGGTCTCTCGCTAGATGATACAGTCGGTGGGCTGGTACTCATGTCTAGCTCGAGCCACACCGGGTCCCAGTGGGCCTCGGTCTGGCACATGTCCATCTGTACCTGGAGGCGTTGTCGCTGCTCCTGAAGTCGCAGCGCCACGGGTCTGACGAGCTTTTCATCGGCTCTCCATAATAAGTTCGCGTCTGGGTTGAGGCAGTCCACCGTGAGGCCCATATGATCCCAGAGGTCGAGGATAGAGTCCTCGAGGGCAATCTGCTGGCTCCGTGAGACTTGCAGGGCTAAGAGCGCCGTGTTGCAGAGGTCGTTGATATCGGCACGGGTTGTCTGCCAGACGCTCCGAAGGTTGTGCTTGTCGAGAAAGGCGTTCCAGCTCCGATGGAGGCCAGCGTCTCCTGGGGGCCTGTTGAAGGGACCTGGAAGACCTAGGGAGGACATGCTGAGGTTTGTCAGATAGTAGTCAGTGGCTTTCGGCGAAGTCACCAATGTAGGCGATGGCGAATACGACGCTGATGATTGGCAAGGAGGATGGCGGACGACTTGACGATCGAGCTGATCAATAGTCGGCTCCTTCCCTATTGAGTCTACATATATCATGGATTAGAGAAGGAACTATCCAAGAGATGTTTCCTAGGCATGTTGTTCCGGAGAAAGGTCATGCTTCGGAGAAAGACCGTACTTCCTCTTCTTGCCATGCTGCGAATGGCCATCAGGGCACTTGATGACCTTTCAGTTCGGCTGGCATACGGCGCCGAAATGCCTCCGTCGTTTCTATCAGCTCAGAATCCTCATCCATTCGTCGTCTTCAAATTGATTGCTACATGGGGCTTCTTCTATGGTTTGACTGATCGATTATGAAGACTGGACGTGCTCCCAGCTAGATCAGATCGCCTACAACCACCATATAGAAGGCCAGATCCACCTTCGTCAACGGCACAGTCTTTGATCTTGGATAACTACATTCAGCATTGACCTATAACGATGGTTTTCTGTAACTAAGCAAGTGTGTGCATGGCTAGATTTCATATCAATGAAACCCTCAAGGTACGTAGCATATCGCAATAGGGCAGAGTAAAAGTCGACCTGTTGAACCTCGTCAACCATCATTTGAGGTTCGTATAAGCGAAGAATTAATTTGTGGTCCTTCAAAAAGGCGTTCCGTTGTCTTGACTAGGACGCATCTCATGGAACTGTGATGTCTATCTTTGATCTACAGCGTCAAAGCCTTTTCCACGATACATGTCTCGAGGTCACCTTGAAAAGGCCCGGCATCGGGCTTAACCAGCCTTTGCTGCTCTGATGTATGCAACGCCAACAATCGGGACTTCATGCTGATGATAGTAACCCTAGTTGAGTTAGTGTCTGACAAAAGTTGCCATCTCATCTAGCGGCTTTCTGGTGCCGACAAACGGACGTTCTTCTTTGGTTCGTGCGGGCCTCCACAAAGCCGGTTTGCCGGTGCCAGCTGCCTGCCTCCCCGCATAACCCACCGGCGCACCTGTTAGTGGATGCGGCTTCATGGTGACCAAGGATGTAGCTCATCAACAACACGATTCCATGTCGCTGTCTATGCAAACCAGAAAGCTAGCCTTCTTAAAGTCAATGCTTCCTCTTCCCCAATTACCATCCTTGGAAATCAAGACCCATCATTTCTCGAGAGAAGCTTGGGGCACGCATCCCTGATTGGGAGCAGCACATGTCACAGAACCTGCAAGAGGACGTCTAATTGAACGAGTTCCCGGAATTCTTCCCGAAGCCGGTCCCCCCACGATCGTGATTCCGTGTCTCCCCGAGCCGGAACTTGAACCACCAAAGTAATTCATCATGAGTTTCCGCTTCGAACCAACCACGGAGCGTGCTCTCAACGATGAAGAGTTCCTGGCCGATCTGACTGGAGGAAATATGGCAGTCGTACGATGGAAGCACACGCCAGACGTCTCAGACTTTGACGATGCCGCGGCGTTCGAGATCATTCGCAGGGCCATCATGTCAGAGATCAACGATCCGCAGAGGCTCCGCAAGGTCGCGGTCGAGATTGCGGCCCTTTTACCGGCGAACCGGCCGGCTGAGGATGTTCTAAAGTCTGTGTGGCAGTTGTTTGTGGAATTAGCGCAGCAGACGCCCTCTGGAAATATTGCGATGCTGGATCTGGTGGTGATTCTCGACCATTTAGCTCTGTCGCCTAGGACCACGGGCACAGTGACGGTGGTGAGTTCCACTTGAATTTGATTGTACACTACTGATACTAATTGCTTTGTAGGATGGCTTCGAGCAATTGAGTCGTCTTCACGGTCTTGATCAAGTCATTAAAGACTGCATGACCTGTAAGTCTTCACTACCTGACCGCATCTCTCGAGGATCATCTACTAATATGGAATAAACCCTCCTAAAAGCACCGTACCAATCAACCAATAGGATGGAAACACTCACCCACTGGATCAACGTCAATGCTTTCGCCTCCCTCCTCTGGTCCTACAACCTCATCGACGGCCGAGACTACGCAATCCAGCAGCTCCGCACCGCCTTCGAGGACCGCCGCTCGTCAGACGCCAGCGACCGCCACGGTGCCGACGCCCGGCTCATGGCCGCTGCGCAGTGGGCTATCCACTCGTGCCAGCGTCTGTATCATCTCTCCGTGACATCTGAGGCGACGTCGCCATCCGAAGAACAGCCGACGACGAAGAGTGAGGGATCAGGAGAAGCCAATGGGAAGAAGGCGAGAAAAAGTAGCAGCAGCAGTGTCGAGAGATGGAGGTGCGGGCCGCGGTTCAAGGGCCGCGCGGGGTTCTCGTTCAGGAGGTGGGAGTTTTGGCAACAGGCGTTTGAAGAGGCCAAGGAGTTTGGGGATTGCGGGATCGAGACCAAGATCGAGGCCGGGGCGGCGGCTGGAATGATGGAGAAGGTTCTGTATGCTGGATTTGAAGCTTAGAAATGTGATGACCGTGCTGGGTTTCCTGGTGGTGGTGTTTGCAACAGGTGGATGATACTACAGACTGGAGTTGCGCGGGAGGCTAAATTGTTTACGAGAGGTTTCTCAGTTCTGCGAATACATTGCTCTTGGGGCTGGGGATTGGGAACTGCAAAGCTTGGGACGGGGTTCTTCCAGGGCCGTTAGGGCTAGGATTGAAAAGTCTTGTTGGGTTAAGTAACGTCTTGATCTCGAGGAGCTTAGTTCAAGATATCGAAGGAGAAAAACTGTTGTATGCTGAATGTGGTTTTCGTCCAGAGTCATCCTCCAAGCATGTAGCCACCGTCTCATTAGTCGCTGACTTTCCTCGGCATGGTATATAGGCAGTCAATGCAGACATCAAGAGAAGGCTCAGGAGGTCATATGGGATCTCCTTCTTCACACTTGTTCTATTGTCTCACGCCTCTGCTGTAAACCTGTCAAGAGCTTCTCCATCAGCAGCTTTTTCGAATGTCGATTTGCATGCGTCTTGATATCTGTTCCCATAGAACGGCTGCGATTCACAAAGAACTTCAGTGTTCATTCTTTAATGCCTATGCCTGCTGCGTCTGCTCAATCTTTCTACCTACTACCTGAGGTCACGGTCGAGATGTGGTGAAGCAAACAGAAAAATGGCACACTACAACTTGAGGAACCACTTACATCAATAACCAGCGTTTGTAAACTTCACGTTGACCCATTGGGCCTGCAGCAAGCCGCTCTTCCTCTGTTGTCTGAGAATTCTACCTTCGCCACACACGACACTTGTCAGACTGGGGCGAGTTCCTTCCTCTTTCCCTTCTTTTCCTCCTCCTCTCCTTCTCTTTTCCTCTTCTTCCTTCCAACCTTCAACGCCAACCTCTCTTCATCAACACTTGAGTCCCAAGTCAGCAACGATATCCCCCATAGTAAGAACACCGGATTTCTCTGCTTCCTCATACAACTCTCGGTTCACAATCTCACGGCTTACTTTCCCTACTGACCAGACCAACCTCCGAACGCGCCCCCAACTGGGAGTCCGCAAACAAGGCCAGGACAGACGCTACATCATCGTTCACCACGCCGCCATGACGAAGTCCAAAATCGACAAGCAGGCTTACGCCGCCAGCGCCATGTTAGCAGCCGCCAACGCTCAGCGAGAGGCTCACGCCAAACGGGCCGTCACCACCGCCGCCGCCAACAGAACCCTAGCCGAGGCCCTCCACGCCCACATCGAGAGCAACACCGTCCCTACCGACATGGACGTTATAGAAGCCTTCCGCTTCGACTGCGTCTTCACCATGGCCGACAGGCGCAACCTCCTCACCCTCTACCGCCACCTGGTCCTCGACCATGGCGTTTCCACCGCCGCCATTCAGGGCTGGATCGCCGAGGGCAAGGAGACCGTCACCGCCCGCATCGAGGAGCTCTTCCAACCGCATCGCGACAAGATACCCACCGTCCGCTCAATCATGGCGGAGAAGTGGTACCGCAAGAACCCCCACGTCTTTGACCACATCGGCGGCAGCCGCACCGCGGAGGATAGAGAGAAAGATACGGTCCTTCAGGCGATCCTCTGCGGCGCCACGCCCGGAGAGAGGATGGCTGGCGGCGTCGGTGCTACCCGCGAGGTAGACACACAGATGCGCCTCGTGGAGGCGGATATCATGGCGCGCGCGGACAAGGGGGAGAATATTGCATACCTCATCAGTAGGCCGCAGATGGCCAACGAGGCGATCGTGTTCGCCCCTTGCAACAGGACCCACGACGACAAGCTGCCGATGAAGATTAAGATTGTGGAGTTGACTCCGGATGGCATGTGTACCGGCGTGCTCCACGTGGCTGCGACTCTTGACGAGGCCAAGGAGTATGCCACGGATGCGTACTATGAGGCGGAGAGAATGAAGTGGGAGGGAAAGCAAGCTGTCGAGGGCAAGGGTGAGGGTAAAACTGGTGATGGAGAGAAGGGTAAGGCTAAGGCCAAGGCCAAGGATGGGCTTGATTGTATTCAGGACATGGTGTCTTCGCTCAAGGTTGATGATGTTGATTGATCTCCCATCTGGTGAGTGGTACACTTGTTTCTAGGCATCAGTGGACACAAATGCTAACGCATGGTACAAATAGAGCACTGTGAGACATTGCTGAAGTGCAATGTTCGTTACTCATTGTACAGGTGAAGGGTAGGACAGAACGCGGTCTACGTGAAGCACGTTTGGGAGACAGCTGCCAGGATCTGTGGTGATGTTGCTTTGCTTGGACGGATGGATGATATGAGGATGTAAAGGAAACGCGTCAAGAGACCTCTGACTACTTTTCAGAAACCATTGGCACATCTTGTCAAACTATCCAAATAGAGCAGCCCACAGTAATTAGGAGTACCCAATTCAGTCAGTTGAGCACAGCTCTCTCTTCCTCCAAGAGTAGTAAATCCCCTCTTCTCGCACGAGGACATGGGAGGAACCGCTGGGCTACGAGAAGCAAACCCACCTCGCCTAATGGCTGTGAGTGTGTGGCAGAGAGAGACGTAGAATGCCTCAACAATCCTGCCAAATGTTCCCCGAGTACTGCAGCCCGACGACATGAATCAATGAATTTGAATATCTGGTTAAAGGGCGTTGCCCGGGATAGAACAGTTAAACCAAGTTCGATATGTAGGCATCTTTGCCGCTTGGGCTAGAGTCGCCTCGCTACACCGGAGGCACTGGTCGGCCATAGCATATAATCTCTGTTCATCACTCGAGCAAACAGTCAAGGTCATGGAGAGCATCACACAGTCGGTAGGCGTTATGTGCTGGGCATATTTCACATCTGTCGTGGAGAATGCCGCATTGCATTCATGCCGGCGCTTCTCTACACTGTACTTGACAGACATGACAGACCTGCCATGAGTATCATGCGGGAAAGTGGTCTCTGACAAATTGGACAAGCTGTCTGTTCGAAGAACACATAGCCTGGCTAGAGGAGGTGGCAACGGGATGTATTCTCAATCATATTGGAGACGAGTTTACCTGCCGTGTTTCGCTGACTGGCCGGCAGCAAAAGTGTTACCGTAGAGCTGTATCAAGGGTGAAGCAACAAAGTATGCTGCATAGATGAGGACAGGAATATACTTTGTCGTCTTCACATTCGAAAAGAGAAGCGGGATCAAATCCGACGGGCGTTAGTGTCAATAAGCGATGGCACGTTCTGGTTTTGGTCCACTATGATCATTTCAAGACCGTCAAAGTGTCGGGCAGTTGTCGAGTGTAGATGAAATGCGCCGAATTGAAGAAGCATCCGAAGAACGTCCCTTGGCAGAGTCATGCGGCGGGCGATCCCGAGATCTCAACATCAACGGGTTGGGGATCGAATTGTATCATCTCCCAGCTAGTGTAGCCGGTCCTCTGCCGACACTAACACCGAACTTGATGACACCGGGCTTGGATGGACGTTGCCATTGCCAAGGAGTCTCGACCAGTAGCCGATAAAAGTATGTGCTAGAGATTGGCAGTACGAATGCACCGTCAAAAAGATGCCCCAAGCGTCTCCAACTTGCAAGCCGGCGCCGAACGCAACGCGACTCGGAGCTGCTGCCGGAGTTTGGCCGAAGGAAGGATTGTCTGGGGGAGAAAAAGAAGACGAGTAAGATGGTGTTTGGTTCGTGGGCGTTTCATTGTCGCATTGCGTTGGGGGCTGTGCAAGATGAAATTCCAACTCGAAGGGTGGATTCGATGCTCGAAACAAGTCGGGAGTAGGAAAAAGACCGCAACTTGCATATACCGAGTGGCAACAGTGAAGCTGCTAGAAACTGTGTGAACCATTCTCTGGGTTGTGCTACTCGTCATTGAATGGCCAAGAACATCAACAAAAGTAGCATCGCACGTTAAGTGAGGCCAAATCGATCGCTTCACCCACTGCTCGAGGATTATGAGATGGCACCAACAGGTCGCAAACTATATCAAGATGCTGACGGGTGAGACCAATGCGGCTGAAGAACAAGCGCGTTCAGCCGCTCTCGAGTTGGTGACACGAAATGCGATGCAAGTGGGCGAGGTACGCCTTGGGGGCTGCTCTATTGCGCTTTGGGGGCGGAAAGACAAGGAGGTGGACCTGGATATGGCGTGTTGAATCTTGACGACTCAAGAGTCGTTATCCTTTTTTCCACCTTTTGCATGTACGGAGCACTGCGTAAGTCATTGTCGTGAAAGTTGTCGTCGTCCTCTCCATAGTCTAAACTCCCCGCGCATGAGTCTCTATACAGTGTGCGTGGTGAGTGTGTCGCGGGTTGGAGCCCGAGCTTTTTTGTCATTCACATGTGTCGTGGCTGAGAGACGTGGACGATGGCTATCGGGAAGGCCCCACCCTGCCGTCCAATGGTAGGATCCGCCTGAGGACCCTAAGCCTGAATGGGTTGAACTGCCGTGGGAAAAGAATGTGTAATTGTTCACTGTAAGACACGACGATGGCCCAGATTGTACGAAGTACTTGGGGGAGAAAAGACGATGGCGACGCCGACAACAAATTAACGCGGGCAGAAAAGGAACTCTGTCTAAGGTTGCGTCATTTGTCTGCCGGATCGAACATTGGTTTTTGTTTCTTCCCGCTTGTTCGAGAACGAAAGCCCAGGGCTGCTGGCTGGCCTGGTCTGGCCTGGTCCTGTTCGAAAGCGGATGCGACGTACGGATAGGTGTTATTGGCTTACCAGGCTTGCTGACCGCGGAAAAGCAAGCCTGGCACGCGTGGGTTGCAAGCCTTGTGGATGTAGGAGATGATGGAAGCTGTGCTAGTATCATTCTCGAAGTATTGAAAGATGAACGCTGGCCGAACAGATCGGGTTGATTGTCTTGCAGGATTTGGAAGCCGAACCCCAGTGCTCACGGCCAATCTGTCGAGATTAAGAACAACCTGCAGCGTTTTGAACTTGCAGTAGTTGCCCTGGAGTGTTTGCTTGTCCGTCCACGGCATCCGGCAGACGGTGATTTGCTAGTGGTCGTTATCAAAATGAGCCAGAAATGGACAAGAGCTGCAGGGTGTTGCGGCACCACCTAAGCCCCTGCAGCAGGCCGATGTTTCCCACGAGTGTGGTCACTGGTCACTGGTCTGTAGTCACTGTGGGTGGTGCTATGATGAGGGTTTCGAAGTTGAGTTGGCTGATGAAGGATGAGGGGTGATTTGTCTGCAGCAGGCGTGAAACGAAGTGCTGATCTGACTGTTTGTCTGATGGACGTCTGGATTTCCAACCTTGTAGGAAAACGGCATAGATCCGAACCTTGAGAGCGAAAGAGAGAGTGATTGACAGGGTCGAGGAGGGATGAGCAGGGGTCTATGGGGTGGTGGTGGTTGCACCCGACCGTTGCAGTCGTGGAGTCTTGGTCCTTGGAGACAGAAAGGTGTGGAAGTGTTCGTGGGTGAGAGAGAGAAAGTTTCTAGGCGGAAATTTTTGTGTTTCTTGATGGAAATCGGTAACCGGGAGGGACGTCTGATATCACCCAAGGCTGCACCCGTTTCGCAAGTGCAGGTTGTCCGGGGGCCATCGTTGGAGCAGAGATGAAGAGGCGCGAAATTTGAGTTTGGGGACGCGCAGAGGCGGTGCTGGGTCGCTTGTCGCTAATGTGCTTTTGGGAAGTGAGGCAGCGGAGACCCGAGAGGACGCTTTTCGAATTGAGACGACGTAGGGTGGACGACGGAAAGACGTACCTTAGAGGCTTATCTAAGCGGACCTCCCGCTGGAGACGGGATGGCGATGTATACAATACATATGCATATCACGTGGAGACACTCATGAGGGCCACTCACCTTTCGTCAAATGTTTGACAGAGAGCAATGTGAGAACACGCAAAAGGCATCTCGGTGCATCCCAGTCACCTGCAAGTTGTTGTTCACGATGAGAGATACATAGTACTGTGAAGTTATTGCCATGGAATCCAGATGTGACGGAGAAAGAGGGATATCTTTGATCGCGGGGTTTGTAGCCCGGGGTTAGAAGAGAAATCACGTCATCGCTGTTCAAGTAAAGTGTCGAGTGCGTGGCGTGCTGTATCTGGCGCATGTTTCTGGCAGGCAGTGTCACTGTCCGAATAGAGAAACAAGTCGGAGGGAACCTGCCAAGTGAGGGTCCTGAGGGTTGAAGGTGCTTTCCTCCTCTCAGATATACAAATACTTGGTACCTACCAGACTGGAGTGAGAATTGAGAAGGAGCACAAAGGTCAAGAGTACCTTACTCCGGACCTCCCTCAATTTCGCTGCGTACCTACCTACCTAGGTATCTAGTGTACCTCCCGATAGTTCTTTCTGTGGATAGGTACCTAGCTGCTGCAGGTTAACGGTTGGCATGGGGGAAATGTATCCACGTGCTGTGTTAAGTTCCTTTCCTCGAATGTCGATAAGTATCTGCGCGGCAATCTGGTAGAGGTACTCGGGCCACACAGGAGGAACATGGAAAGGACGGATGCAAGGGGTCTTTCCTTGCTTTGCAACTGCCAGGCTTCCCCCACGCTCTTCCCCGATGATTAATTCCCTCCACTCATCAAGCTTCGCTCCCACCGTCACTACTGCGTCCAGCGTCCACTACGGATACTCTCACTCATTTCCGTGACACAGTCGCACAACACAACATGAACAAGAAAAGGAACCTTCATCAATCACTACAGTCTACGAAAACACGACGGACGACTGCTACAGCACTGCGAACCGGCAACAAGAAGCAAAGCCGTCGACCATCATGCGATACCTTACTCCGCAAAGAACAGCAGAAACAGGCAAACACGTACGCAAACACGCAAACAACCCACACCATCTGCCGTCGAACCGCCTCGCACTCTCTGGTCGCACTTTGGCTTCGCAAACTCGAGGCTGGCGCTGATCTTGCACACAAATCATTGACCGCCCTACTCCGTACTCTGCAACACGCAGCACTTGCTCTCTCGCGCTCGTCTTCACGTGCCTGTCTTCGTTCCTCCCAGCCAGACAGCCACCCACAATCCACTATCCGTATTCCGTACCGGTGCGCGGATGGGCTTGCTCATTGTTGGGCCGGCTGCTCGGGCTATTCATCCCACTCAGACCAGCCCTGCCAACCTGCTACCCTCAGGGGTCTTCAATCTTACGCCGATGAACCCTGACCCTCAACACGTCCTTGACCCGCACGTCCCGGCCTCCAATTGACTCTGGGTCCCTGGCTAGCTGGCACTGGCGAGCTTGGGAAGTTGGGAGCGAATACCACTCGTCTGATTGGCACCTGTTCAGGTACGCGGAGCCTGCTCCTCTTGCGACTTGCGATTTGCGGCGTCAGCGTACCCTTCCTTTTCTCAATCCCAGTCCGATGCTCGATGCTCGATGAAGCGGCCATATCTGGTTCGTCGATCCCGGCTTCAAGGCCCCAAGACAACCCTATCTCATCTCTCGCCCAGACAGCCAGCAAGCCAGCAATACGCAGCTGCACGTACCTTGACCATAATGATTGATCGGAGAGTCTCTTGCAGGGCAGCGAACTTGATGTCGACGTACGTACCGGCAACCGGCCCTCGAACCGGCGCAACATGATGACAATCCAGTCCGCAGTCTATCCGATTCTTGGGCGGATGGAACGAACCGACCAAGAGGGGTGGCCACTTCCAGGGGACCCTCGCATTGCTCCTGCATCGAGTGCCTATCCTCCCCCATCACGGATGCTGGACCGGACGGCGGACGCTCATACAACCACCACTTCCCATGTTCGATGTTCAGGCTCCTCTCACATCTCGAGTCACTCAATGACCTGGCTTTGGTCAAGCCATCAATGACAACCACCACGCATCTACCTATGGCTCTGGATCTGGTATACATGGGACAAATCGTACAGGTACAACCTGCACCCACAGACAGACACACTCGCAAGACTGGCACACTGGCGGCACTGGCCAGCCTGCAGGACTGGCCCTGCAACACCAACTGCCTTAACCCCAAAGGGGAACCAGCCTATTCCTGTTTCCTTTTTGCCTTTATCTCTGGCCCATCCTCGGACGGCTAGAGGTGGCGTCGCCCACTAAACTCGTCTCGTTATCGCACGCCAATGCTACCAAGACGTCGAAACTCGCCGGGCTGCCCGTTTGGGATCCCCTCAGATTGGCCATTTTCCCTCTCGCTGCCCTCTGACTGGATGCGACCTCTGTTGACCCCGGCTCCCAAACCAATTTGTTCACTGCAAAGATTACGGGGATCAGCACCTGAGAAATATAGTGGTGCTTTCCACTTTTCTACAGCCCAAGAAGTGAAGGGTACGGGGGTCTTCGGGCAACTCTACGGATACTGCGTAGTCTGTGTGGGCGAGGCAGAAAGAATAGAGAGAAGCGGATGCTCTGTAAAGAGCAAAGAGCGAAAGGCACACAGGCAAAAGCGAGCTCGCTGCCCACCTCCGGGATGAGCATGAGCACTGATTCTTTCAAGCTGGCGCAGCCAGTCGCCCATCCCAATCCAAGACCGTCTGAACCCAGGCAAGCCAGGCTGTCAGGGGAGGACAGACTAACCAGACCGGCCGAGACAGTCAGATTGAGCAGAGAGTGAGAGCCCCTCAGTCAACGGCACGCACACACACACCACACTTTAGCTGGCTCTCCTCTCCTTCTGCGGCCTTTTTCTTTTCTCTTGCTTCATCCTCCTTACTCACTGCCCATTATTCTCTTTCGCACCAAGCCCTCTCGTCTCGAAACGACAGGGCGATGCCAGCGAGGAGACAATCATAAATCTGAGTCGTCAGGGAAACTGGAACACCGAGATCCCGACATCTTGCACTTTAGCAGCCAAATAGACGCGGCCCCGACATAGACCCAACGGCTGACTGCCTTGCACGTTGGCCCTGTCCCTTCTTCATCCCATCCGACTTCTCGGGTCCAACAGACTAGAGAAAGACACACAGAGAGAGAGCCACGAGCTACTCGTCCTACCGCCATCCAAGAGACCAGCCTCTTGGTACGCCCCGTTGGAGGACACGGACAAATACTCCCGTCCTCGCTCTACGCACAAACATCTGGATACGCCCAACATCAAATTACCCTTTACTCTTGGCTCCTGGCAAGGCTCGATACCAACAGTTCCTGACTTCACGCCCGCACTAGCGAAGATCCCGTGTCGGATCACGTCAACTTGGATGCAGGTCCAGAGAGACAAGCATCGAAGCCACTCTCCCACCGTTGTTGATAGAACTAACCCTGTTCTCACTCACTCTACGTCGCCGGATACTCTCTCTGCTCTAATCTTTATCCCTACTCGGTCGCCCCCAAGCCCAAGCCAGCCTGGCCTTGTCACTCAGAGGCATTCCACCGCTGCCCCCGATACATAGGAGCGCCAATTCCCTCCCCTCCCGCCCTTCCCAGGCTTTGATCATCCTTTCATAACTACCTTACTTTTCTTCGTCGTTCCCGCGTTGTGCCCAGCGCTACATCCTTGGCCCCCCGGCCTTTTGGAAGTCTCGCACTCTCCACCCTCCCGCCCTCTTCTCCCGTTCTGACTACGATACACTCCTTTTCCCATCATCTCTCTTTCTATTGTTCATTCCATCAAAAGACGAACGACGAGTCGATCCGTCCCGTCTCATACCGACAATCGCACAATCCAACCATTTCTGGTCGGCCGACACTCTTTTCTCACCACATCGACGACCAACGCACGACCGATCGACCGACCGGGGCCATGTCCGCAAATGCCTGGCCCGGGGCCGACAGCTCCTCCCAGCATTCTGGGCAGCTGTCGCAGAAAGACCTCGTCCTCGACCAGCAAATGATTAAGCACCTTCTCAACAGATATGGCCAAGACAAACTGAATCTCCTCATCCAGGAAACCACCGGCCCTCGTGAGTGACATTTGATGCTGACCGCTTCTTCGGCGCTGTGAACTAATTGGATGCAGAGTCGGATGGTGCATCAATTGTGTCGTCGGCGCAGTCATCTATCCTGTCAGATGACCAGTCGAGTATGTGGGATACCCAGAGCATCAGAACATTCTCCGACACGTCGTCAATCACTGGCAGCATCATCTCTAATGTGTCTCGCGGCACATCGAAAATCCTGGGTAGACGGAGTGGAAGCAGCAGCGCCGCGGCTGCTGCCCAGGCCCAAGCGGCGCAACAGGCGGCTCAGACGCAGCAGGACTCGGAATCATGGAATGGAATCGACGTGCCCAACTCGTCCAACACAGCATCCGACGCTGCATCAATCTCGACCAGTGCCTCAAAACAAAAAGGCGCTTTCATGTGCGGATTCTGCAAGGAGGAGGATATCACCAAGACGTGCACTCGGAAAAACGACCTCAAGCGCCATATCGAAGACTTCCACAACGTCAATGCGCAATGGTTCTGCCGCCATCGTGGTTGCCAAATGGTTTTTGATTGGCAAGGCGCCTACAAGACACATTTGAAGCAGGCCCACGGCGGCTCGAGAATGTCCCTAGACGAGGCCAAGGTCAACCTTTGTCCCCAAGTCGTCTTTGCATGCGGCTTTGATAACTGCCTGCAAGTGTTCGAAGCGCAAGGCGACTCGGACGCAAGTGCCACCTTCAAGGAGTACGTGAGCCACGTTGTTAAGCACTTTGACGAGGGGTCCAACAGCGGCGATTGGTCATACTCGGCAAGGATACGAAACCTCCTCAGACAAGGTCAAGTACAATCAGCTTGGAACGAATCGATGTGGAATGAGGCATCAAGAACATCTCTGCAATGGAGCCCCCAGACGTCTGGCATTTTGAGGAAACGACTCGAATGTCGCCATGTCGGAGATGTCAAGCTGCTTGTGCAGTACGCCATGATGCTCGGCTCCGATCCTAGCAGCATTGGAAAGTTCCGCGAAGACTTCGTCACCCCCGTTGCCGATACTTGCACCTTGCACATGCCTGGGCACAAATCACGACAACCGACCATGGCCGCTCCTCCAGAGCAACCGGCCGACCCTTTCTCCTTCAAGATATCGCGCGGCGCAAACCCTGCTCTCGCCGCTTACATGGCGTCTCAACGTAGAGTCTACGTTCCTAGACAGCAGCGGGTTGTAAGGCCACCGCAATTACATCACCCGCACCAGCAGGTGCCGACATCGAATCCGATGGCCAGCCACTCCCGGTTATCGCAATCATCACACTCATCACACACAAGCAGCCATCACGGCCACCCACAGGTTCACCACAGCAACCAGAGTCACAGCACCTTGGGACATTTCTTTCAGGCGATGCCTGAATCGCAGATGTACGACCCGAACAGCAACGCCCAAGGCTTTGGGCCCAGCAGCGGCGCAATGCACCACAATGGAATCATAGCAGACGATATGCAGAGCCTAAGAAGCATGGGCGGAGGCGCACCCGAGTCGACAGACGTGGAGATGCAGGACGGCTTGATGCCGGATTTCTCTTCGCCTTACGGACAACATTCAGCAAATCTGACAAGTCCATCCATCAACGGTCATCCTGACGGATTCTTCCCCCCCGGACAAGCTTATTAAGCAGCTATTCCCGGAGCAGTTTGCGACGACTCGACAGTACCGACGACACGAGTGAGTGGCCAGCGACCAGCTGCAGGCCCATGTATCAACAAAATTAGAAGCACATTTAACCCCAGCCCCATCTCGCGCAAGAGATGTTTTTCTTTGACTCTCTTTCAATCCAATTTCTTTTGTCGGCGTTTTCTATCAAGATCATATACCCAACACCAGTTGAACGCCATACTGGGTATATTCGCAGTAACTACAGCCTTGGACGACATACGATTGGACGGACGACGGAAGAGGAGGATTGTACATGACAACTGGTTGCTAGACCAGAGTCGTCCGAAGGCGTCTCGGTACGAACGAGTAGGGTTATCGTGAAGGCGGTTATACTCTTTTCAGAGAGATGGGATGAGGCATATCAGGAAAGCAAGGACGGATTCGGGAACATTTGGACGCGGCCAAGGTGGAATGGCCTGGATTTCCGTAAAGCACTCTCAGGTGAAAGCACGAGGCTTAGTACCTGGCGCGTTATACCCACCGGCGAAACGGTTGGAATCGACTCTTAATTTCTACCATGATCATCACTTCTGTTCCTCTTGCTGCCCTTCTGTGCCTCAATTCTTCATGCCCGTTGATGAGATGAAAACGAGTTGGGATGGCTTGCGTAGCAATTTCTGCCTCAGCAGCCAAAGCCAACCGCGCTCGTACGTTATCGTGCTCCCTGCGCTGCCGGTGCCGCGCGTCCAGAGTGTGGGAAGAGACGGATTGACTCGGTCGTGACATCGGGAATTGACGAAAAGGGCAGATATTACTGAGTGACGCGCCGAGTCATGTGCGTTGACGTGACGAGCAGGCCTCCCTGGCAGCTGCGCATATAACTCTGCGACGGCAAGATCACTTATTACCTACACGTGGCACCCATCGGCCCCCATTTTGAGGATCGACAAGGGCATGAGAGGAAGATGTACGATATGCGAGGGGGGTTTGCTGCCGCTTTTCCATCGGACATTTAGTAGAGAGCGAGAGAGAAAGAGAGATGGAGCCATCTTTCTTGTTGCAACTGTCAGCTGCTGATCCCCGTGCTTTTCTCGGATTGAGTTGGAGGGAAAAGCTGCACGGAGACGGACGGGTATGCAACCAGGTGATTTGCATTGCGGCTTTGCGGTTTTGCTAGCGATTGATGAGGGTTGATGAGGCTTTCGGGTTCCCTTTCATATCTTGAGCGTGTTTCACCAGGCTAACGGTCTGGCGGCACCGTTGATCTTTCTGGGGTCAGCTGAGGTATATTCGCCACAGTTTGGCTCAAGGTTTATGTCTCTCGAGTCTGTCTAGGTTTCTAGAGTCTAGCTGTCTAAGTCCCTTGGGTTCTAGGTTCTGGTCTAGGGATCGCCAATGGCTAAGCCCACGACGGAAGGGCATTACGGATGAGGCAAAGACAGATAGATAGACAGACTAGACACCTGGCATTTGCCATTGAATTTTGCATGAATTTGGGGGCCAAGGCGTTTGGGGGACTGGTTGGGATGCACGCATAATTCCGATCGGCTACACCCGTTTTCCCTTGAGTTGAAAGGAAGGAAAGGCATGTTGATCATGAGACGGGATATGAAGGGATTGGGGATGTTTTGGGACGGGTTATCCGGTATGGGAAAGCTGGCGCTTCTGTCTCTGAGTCTCTCTTTGTGGTACTTTCCCACTGGGCAAATTTAAGCTTTTCATCCTTTGTGGGACGGGGGAGGGATCATAAACGGGTCCTGCCTTGATTGAGTGTCGTGAGGCAGACCGGGTATGCGATGAGAAAGGGTAAGTGGGAAAGGCGTCTAGATGTGTGTGCAGTAGATCTGGGATATGGGTTGTCTTATCTGATGATTTGTTGTTACGTTTATGGTGGTGGAGCTAGGATTTCGGGGTGACGGCCGGACGGGAGATTGACCGGTGACTCGTTGGGACCGGGTACGGAGGGTTCGGTGGAGCTTCGCTCGGGGGGAAACTTGGGACAGATGTCGAGATGTCAGTGCGGTTAATGGGGACTCTGTGGTTAAGCGGAGTCTCCGTGACCCTCCACCTTTGCGGCTATTCGTACGGAGAGAGACGCTTCTTTGGTGGAGATGGAGGGGAAAGCGGGAGAATGGGTTTTCTTGGCAGTTCCTTGCTACTAGGATCTCGCTAGGTGAAGAGGAACAGAGTTAAGGCAATACATATTTACGGCAACGGGACCCTTGAGAGGACGTAGAGCAACACGGTTCTCTTGGGGGTCTTTGGGGATAGACGATGGACGGAAGGGGGAGAAAGGGACACGCGGCTTTGTGTTCGAGTTGATGTGAAGAAGTTTGGCTGAGTTCGTCTCCGTGTCGGACCGTATGTGATGATGAGGCGAGGGGCTAGATGGTTTTGGGACGGAGAGTTCCAACAAGGTGGTGAGCATTACTTTTGCAGGTAGGTGGAGGCACTTTCTTCTGGCTTGGGGAACGTGAGGCACTCATCACTTTTTGGGATGTGTTTTCTTAGAAAAGCAAGGTTTGACAACTGCTTTTGCTCATCTGCTTTTCGTTAGTGTTGTGTTGAGATGGAAGGCACATCAATATGAGAGCAGCGAAGGGAATGGATAAGGTCAGATCGGTGATCTGCTCTGGCTGTTCGTGGTAATGTTGTGTGACATCCGATGAGACGCTGCAATCCTACCCTCGAGGGTGAGCTGGGTTTGGCCGTCTTGGTTTTTTTTCCACTTCCTTCACCTCATCTCAGTGCCCCGTGGACATCGCCATGGGATTGGACGGGGCTTGCCGACGGTGAGGAAGATCACTCGCCTAATCATTTGAGCCCACGTCCTCTTGGGCGAACCAATTGTTGTGACTTTGGGGGCAAGCCCATCTCATGTTGTGTCAGGCAACCAAGCGAGCGGGCAGCCTTCTCCTCCTCTCCCCCTTCCGCACACTCCTCCATCCACTGGAATCCTATGGCAGCTCCCCAGTCGAATGGCGAATGACGGCTGAAGCACCGATGGCAGTCGGGCTCTCCGCTGACGCAGGTGGCATCGTCAGTTTTCAACGCCCGAGAAACGAACTGAGGGGAAACCCTTCCTTCAAACGGCCGTATCCGGTACAGCATGTGGCATGTACGATGTGGCTGGCTGGTTATTTCCATCGTCTTCGAGACGAATGCCTCACCAACAGGTGCCACATGCCTGACATCTGGAGGGGAAAGCAATCGTTCGTTGGCATTTCAGCCTTGAAGAAGGGTGAGGCAGCACGCGACTAAAAACTCACCAACCCAGTCTATGAAGTTTTGGGATAGCAGATCGTCCCCTCTCTTGAGCCTTGAGTCGAGTTCACTCTTAGGGCTCAGGTTCACCACGCGGACTCAACAAAGGAATCTTTCTGGCGGGGAGTCTTTGGCGTCGTCGGAAGGAGGACAAAGACTCGGGTAGAGGACCAGTTGAGAGACATCCTTTGGATCGTCCCGGGGCTTCGGCTGCGGAAGACGCGAGACTGTAATATTGACCACGGACCAGAAGCTGGCCCCATGGCAACGACAACGACGCGACACTGACACCACGTCTGGCGACAACCGGTTAGGTTCTTCGTTGATGGAATTCAAACCCCATCCAGTCCAAGAGATGTCTATTCATGCTCTCGACTAGGGGGAAACGTCACCCTTGCCGAATCACCAACCACACCAACCCACACCCAATCTCACCATCGCCATCACAAGCCAAAAACACAGTCACGCAGATCCTTTGTTCTAGCGTCATTCTAGAAGGCCGCTAACGGTCTTGGCTTTCCACTTCCTTCGCCCAGCTGGGCGCTACACAGCCCCGCCAGAACTCGAGTGCGTCCTATCAGGCTGTCAGTGGTCATCGTTACACTGGTTTTTGGTCTCTCTTGACTCTCTCCCTCCTCTCCCCCTGCCTCTGTGTGTCTTTTCTTTTTGCTCCACCTGCACCTGTCATCCGGACATGACGAACAAGGGCGTGGGTTCCTTCTCGAGGCAGGCGGCTCTGCTGCGATTTGGTTCGTCGAGAGAGGCCGTCACTGGTTGACTATGGGATATGCGCAGATGATGGCTTGCGAAAAGAAAAGAGGGGGGAGGCGGCATCGGAACGGGTTGGGATCAGCGTTTCTTGTTCCATTTCCCGTGCTGCCGCTTACCCCGGTTGGTCCTTGGACCAGGACGCTTGAAGTCGAGCCGTCGCTCAACTCCCTCCATGGGAATCAGGTTCTCGAAGATCCGATTTGTTCTAGAAAGCTTGGTTCAAGTTTGGCAAAAAGTTGTGGGCCACAGTAACGAGTGTTATTGTAAACAATGAGCTTCCTCTCTACCTATGCGAGAGCACCTCCTTCGCAGCGAGTGCGTCGAATGACGGGAACTGAGAGACCCTATTCCCCAATCCCCAGAGAGCTTCCTAGAGTCAGGCTGAGGCTGATTGGATCCTCATCCAGGAATGTAACCCGCCATCACCATTATTACTAAATAGCCACCCAAGACCCCCCATGCAGGAAGGAGTTGCTTCACCGTTGCTCCAAAACGGCCTCAGTCCTGAGCCCTGCGCCCGCGCTAATGCGAAAAGAAGCGCAAGACAACAACCACTTAGACACACGTACTCACACATATCCTTACACCTACGCACTTCGAGAAGTCCACTAGAACGCTCAGCGAACGAACTAGTCGCCACTCGTCAGACAGCGCCATTCCCCCCTTAGGTAGTTGAGCCTCCCCTCTATTGGTCTGTCGCTGGCGTTCTCTTGGAGGCTCCCAACCTGACTTGGCCATGCTCGACTTGGTCTCCTCCTCGTGGCCTTCTTTGATGGGGTGACGGGTTGTCTTGACTTGGCAAGACAGAGGGCTGGCATACAAATGTCGAATCGCTGTTCTTTCGTGCCTAGTCTTGGCGCATTTCTTTTTTTTTTCCTTTGCCATTCGGATCTTGTCATACGTTCCCGCCCGCTAATACGTACTCGCATCACGTTTGAGTCCGCATTCACTACATAACAACCACCCCCCATCTCGCACTTCGCCCACCCTTCTATCAAATCTAAGTCTTTCCGTCTACTCGTTCATTCTCTAGCTGAGGACAGCAACACCAACTACGCCTTCAACCATCTCGAATACGCTATCCCACGCTTCATGCAACGATAGATACCATCATCAGTCTCACAGCGACTGAACCGTGAGCACATCATGTATCCCACCAGGAGCCCGTCAAACATGTCACCAGAAGACGTCCGAACTTTGTGCGATCTCGCCGGCCGGTACGGCTCCGGAAGCTTAGAAACAACCCTCCGAAACATCAGCGGCAGCAACTACACATCCCTCCGACCTCCGCCCCAGCACCACCACCCAAACCCTCACCACATGGACGCTCCGGCGAGGAACTCGGCCCTTTCTACCTCAACCTTTGGTAGCAACAACAGCGCGCCATCACTCACAAACAGCGCCGGCCCCTGGAGCAGCTCCGACGCGTCCTTGTGCGGCTCAGAGGCTGCCTCCCTATCGGGGAGCTATTTCAGCCAGCAGCCCGGCGGCACTGCTGCAGCCGCCTCCTGGGTCGACGCCGTGGACGCTCCGTTCCTGATGTCGCCCTCCGTGACACCCTCCCTATCAGGCTCCGAGTGGCAGGATCACCACATCAGCGAGCACCTCTCCTCAACACCGTCACGCGAGAAAAAGGCTGCGGCCAGCATGAGGTCCCCGTCCTCGGCTACCGTCGCCGGCCGCAAGCCCATCGAGTGTCCCATGTGCGCCGTCCACGACGTCTACGTCGGCTTCGGCAGGAAGAGCGACTTCAAGAAGCACCTCCAGAACTTCCACAATACCGACTGCATCTGGGTCTGCCCGCAGGGCAACTGCCGCATGATCTTTGACTTTGAAAAGGCCTACATCGCCCACGTCAAGCTCGACCATCACCAGGGCGAGGCGGCGTACCCTCCCGCCGCGGCGGTTGCGGCAGCAGAACAGGTCAAGGTTGGCCTCTGCGCACAAGTCGTATTCGCCTGCGGCTTCATCGGCTGTAAAGAAGTCCTCGAGGCCGCCGACGACAGCGAGGCGCCCAAGACGGCTGACGCCTACTTTGATCACCTCGCCAGCCACTTTGACAAGCGCAGCAGCACCATCAACAACACCAGCGGCAGCTGCAACAACAACCTCGGCGTCTCGTCAGAGTGGACATACTACCACCAGATGCAGAACCTCCTCCGCCAGCGCTCCCTCAAAGACGAGTGGAAGCACGCCCTCTGGGATAAAGCCGCGCGCAACCAACTCCGCTGGCAACCCCGCTCCTCGGGCGACCTGAAGAAGCTCCTCGAGTGCCGCCACCTCGCCGACGTGCCGCGCATCCTCCACGCCGCGTGGACGCTGGGCCAGACGTGCTTCTCCTCCCCTGAGCACCCGGCCCCGGAGTTCCCTGGCGAAGCAACGCGGCCCGTCCGGTCCCGCTGCCCGCTCGCAGGCGAAGGGAGGAACCACGGCGAGCTCCGCGATGTCGTCTGCGGAAGCGGCCAGCAGCAGCAGCATGAAGAGCAGCCGCTGTCGGCGATGACCATGTTCGCCCTCCGCCGTAGCCTCTTCCCCGTTAAGCTCGCCACCGTCTCGCACCCGCCGCCGCGCTCGATTCCCGAGGAGCCGGATTCCCTAGCCTACCCGCACCCGGGTACCCCTCTCGTCATCCCCGAGCGCGACGCCTGGTCTACGGACGTCGTGCTGGGCCCGCCAGAGGACGAGCAGCTCTTTGACCCCATGTTTATGCCGGGTAGCAAGGCGACGACGAATATGCTGCAGCAAAACCCCATCTACCCCTGGATCGATGCTACTACATCTCAACAGCAACAGCAGCATCAAAGACGGTCTTTCGGCGACTTTGCGCGCCACCTCACACCCTCGCCGCAACCTACCGAAGACCACGACAGCAGCTTCGGCCCCTTGCTCCAGGTCCCTCAATCCACCTCTGCCACCACCGCCGCCGCCGCGAAACGTCCCCGCTCGTGGGGCATGAGGAGCCTCGAGAACCTGCGCCTCAAGCGTCGTGGCCGTTCGTCGCCCGTCACGTCACCGGTCGAGGAGAAGGCGGCTTTACCTGGGTGGATCTGAGACAAGCGACGATTGCCTCTGCGCCATTTCCACTATTCTATTTTTCTTTGTTCATACGAATCATTCCAGATGATGTGTATTTACCTAACGCTTTACATGACATGAATGCATGGGTGGAGGCGCAGCTTCATAGACATGTTTCCTTTTGCATTTCTTTGTTAGTTTTGGGGTCGGGATCGGAAACTATAGACTACAAGATACCCCCAATGAGCTTTCTTCGCTATACTGGGTTGGACATTTCGGGGTTGCCGAAGACGCTAGAGAAGCGTGGGAAGTGGCTTACCCACTTACATCGCTTTGTTGACATCCGACGGCGGCTCTGACTAGATGATGATTATGATGACGTCTGGGCGTTCTTTGATGGAAATACCATATAGATAAATTCAACTGGAGTTATCTCTCTTCAACCTTCTCTTCTTCTGGTCCCCTCGAGGTTATAGGTACCTCGTATCGGCGTCTACCTTTGCTACTACTCACCTCTGCTGTGATTGGCTTTCACGTCACCCATATTGAGGAATGTAACTTTGTGAGTTGCCTCAGCGTCAAGGCAATTCAAGAATGGTGAGGCACTTGAATGATGGTGCCAGTCGGCATGAAGGCTTCTTCTTCCTCACGCATGACGTAAACCATGTCAGACCTGCAAAAGTATGCTTTTGAAACAAGAGCAGCTACATATCCATGCGAGGCTCGAGATGATGCAAAAATTTCAGGAGCCATGCTGTCCTCTCCGCCGCACATTTATCACATTTAAGGACCAGTATAACAGAGTCTGCGCTGTCTGTCCCTGGTGGGAAGAATGTACGGTAATTAGGTCCCAAAAGTGTAACTTTATTAGTTACTATCAGACTGTGACACAGAATCTCATTCCCTGAAACATTTCTGTTTTCGGCAATGCTTGCCATTGACAGATACATATGTAGCTTCGATTGATACCTAACGCTATTTAAAGGCTAGTAGGTTACCATGACTTGAGAATGAACCAAAACCCAGATGAAATTCAAGTCGTCGATGTCCAGAGCAACCTGTGCGTTCTTCTTTGTAAAATTGGGCTGGGCGGACTTGCCAGTTCACTTACATTGAGATAGTAAGTCCTGGTAATGATCATGTATCTCGTGGATTTCAAGGCCTAGTCATCATCGTGGAGTTTTGTTCTCGACATATTCCCCGTGGAGATTTTCTTATCTACCAGGACATGAGAGATATCGAAAAACAAAGTTGGTTAGGTAGACATAATTTCCTACTTTAAAACAGCCGAGCGAGCTCTAGTTCCTGCTGCGTCGTTGGTGTTGAGCTCTACGCACTTTCGTAATGATCGTTCATACGATGACATACAACTTTGACGGGACTTTGTCAAGTAACCCAAGCTACTTATCTTGGCAGCAGAAGAGTTATACATGGGCTGACAGTGTCATTTAGGCTGATTATTAAAGCGAACTCACAGGATCTGCGCTGCGCTGTGTACGGATGCCTCTATATTATACTATTCCTCTTACTGTCGTTATCTCAATATAGCACTTCAAAAAAAAAAAAAAAAAAACATCGTCCAACATTGAAGAGGGACCTTTTTTTTCGCGCATAAACGCCTACATCTTTACCCCATGCACATCAAGAAACCCCTAAAAGTAAGGAACATATGGCTATTTCCTCTCCCCACATGAAGTTTCAATTCTTTTTGATTGATACAATGGTTTCAAAGCTCAAAAGCTTCCTGATAGGCCAAGTGGTAGTAGTCGTCGGCACCGTCGTCGTCGAGCATTCCCTTCCTTGCCACAACCGACCATCTTGAACCTGTCCTCTTTGTCCTAACAACCTTCCGGCTGGAAATTGAACAAGGTTCCAATGGATTGTAGATGAGATTTCAACTTCCCACAAACGAGGAACCGAGTACTAACGGTACAGTTCATCGGTGAGCCAGCAACATCACGCACAAAACATACATAAGCCTCAGCTATAGCCGCGGGGCACCCAAGGGGAAAATATGCAAAATTTAGAAGGACGAGATGCGCCCGAGAACGACTGCCCATCTCAGGAAGCTTTCTCGGGATCTCAAGTGCATTAAAGCCATCCGCCCCGAGAGGAACCCTTTCATGCGACTGATCATCCTTCTACAGCTAAGCTGGAAAAGGCTACATAGAATCTTAGTCGTGGCATGGACTAAACGGCTTTTCAAAGAATATAAAGTACATGGTGGTCCTCGGCAAAAAGCCCTTCTCATCGCGAAGTTGCCTTATGCAAAAGACTGCTCTTCTCGAAAATGAAAAATGAGAAATCTAGTTTACAGTTTGTTAATAATATCACACACAAGAAACAGGTCGAATCTCTCGATGGCGAGTGAGCCTTAACAATGTAGCGGCCTACCGCTGCTGGTAGACATTATTACGACCGGCAAACTCCGGGTTATCATTAGCTAGGTTCACAATTCCTACATCACGCTTGGAGCTTGGAGACGTATGATTGAGATGAGGTGCAAAAAAAAACTTTTCAACATTCAACTCGTGAAGCTTTGATATATGTACATTCTCTTGACAAGGTCGAGGTAAACTAACCCAACTCCGTGACGGTCGATTTTTGGTGTGAATGCCCGAAATGAAGCCCCCAGACTACGGAAAATGCTGCGATAAAGCACTTTTTAGATTTTTGTTTTGATTTTGAACTTGTTTTGTTCCGGGCGAAACCTGCGATACAGTCGCCCGTAGTAGGTAAAATCCCTGATCCCAATGGAAGGACTTTTCTGCCTAGGAAGGAGATCTCGTTATGGCCAAAGAGAACCCAACAAAGCCTGGTGGTATAAGATGAGAGAGCAATATGCATGGACGCCTCCAATGTGGAAAGATTAGATAACAAGAAAGAGCTGCGAGTGCTAGTTATTTAGCCGTGGAGACCACGCGTTCTCTCGCGCATCAGCTCGCGGCGCTTCTTATCCTTTTCTGTCAGGGAATTAGTATCGAGCTTACACAAGTCAGGAGATGGGGAATACTAACCTCCGTCCCATGTCAGGAACTCGTGGAGAGCTGATCCAGAAGGCACCATGGGCAGGACAGGAACCTTCTTGTCGGTGACGACCTCAAGGAAGGCGGGGCCGTCAGAGTTGATGAGCCACTTGAGAGCGTCGACAACCTCGTCAGGCTTGCTCACTCTGCGGTGCTGGACACCCATGGCATCCGCCAGCTTCATGAAGTCGGGGTTCTGCTGATGGGTGTGGGCGTAACGATCCTCGTAGAAGAGGTTCTGCCATTGCGTAACCATACCCTGCTCCTCGTTGTTCAGGACAATGACCTTGACGCCAATGTTGAACTGCGCAGCGGTGGAAAGCTCGGTGAGGGTCATGTTGAAAGAGGCGTCGCCGTCGATGTCGATAACGAGAGCGTCGGGCTTGGCGACCTTGGCACCAATGGCGGCGGGGAGACCGTATCCCATGGTACCCAAGCCACCAGAGGTGACCATGGTTCTGGGGTGTCTCCAGCGGAAGTGCTGAGCGGTCCACATCTGGTGCTGACCGACACCGGTGGCGATGATGGTCGTCTCCTTGCGGTCGGCAGTCAGGTTGCTGAGCTCCTCAATGAGAGTCTGGGGCTTGATGAGGCCGGAGCGCTCCGCCTTCTCATAGTCGGACATGGGCCACTTTGCCTTCCACTCTCTAATCTTGCCGAACCATTCCTTACGGTCCTCCATCGTCTTGGGCTTCAGGTGGGGAATCAAAGTGCGAAGGTTGGTGGCGACGTCACCCTCGACAGCCTCGGTGGCTTGGACAACCTTGTTGATGTTCTTGGGCATGATCTCGAAGTGAACGATACCACCGCGGCCCTCGGCAGCGGCAGCCTTGGCGCCAGGCGCGAACTTGGCGACGTTGAGGGTGACACGATCGTCGAAACGGGCACCGAGGGCGATGATGAGGTCGGCCTGCTGGATGGCCATGTTGGCATAGGCGGAACCGTGCATACCAAGCATGTGAAGGGACTTCTCGTCAAGCTCGTCGAAGGAGCCGAGACCGTGAAGGGTGGTGGTGACGGGGATGGAGAACTTGTCGGCAAGCTCCTTGAGGATCTCGGGGCCACCCTCAGACTGGGCAATACCCTGACCAGCGTAGATGATGGGCTTCTTGGCGATGTTGACGAGGTCGGCAACACGCTTGATGGACTGCTCAAGCTGCTTCTGGAGCAGGGCCATGGCGGCTCTTGAGGCGGCGCTCGGGAGAGAAGGCAGGGAGGTTTCGGTGGGGATAGCTCTCCTCAGGACACCGGCGGTGACATCCTTGGGAAGATCGACCAGGACGGGACCGGGGCGACCGCTGGTGGCGATTTCGAAAGCTTCGTTGATACGGCGGGGGAGCTCGGCAATGTTCTTGACCATGACGTTCCACTTTGTGCAGGCGCGGGAGATACCAGTGACATCGGCCTCCTGGAAAGCATCACTGCCAATGGCGGAGGTGACGACCTGACCGCAGAAGACGACCATAGGGGTACCGTCGGAGAGGGCATCCTGCATCGGGGTAATGACGTTGGTCGCGCCGGGGCCGGAGGTGACGAGGACGACACCGCACTTGCCTGAGGCGCGGGCGTAGCCCTCAGCCATGTGGCCGGCGCCCTGCTCGTGCTTGGGGAGAATAAAGTCGAAGTGTTTTGAGTTGTAGATGGCGTCGAAGACGGGGAGAATGGCACCTCCGGGGTATCCAACTGTGAGTCACGGTCAGCCACACGTCTCTGTGATGCCATCTTGATATACGCAGTTGAGTCACGTACAGATGTGCTTCACGCCCTGTCTCAACATCATCTCGTGGAAGATTTCTCCTCCAGTCTTGCCAATGAACCTGTGTTACACCGTAAGCTTTCCCGCGCGCTTCCAACAGACCGAAAATGGCGGTGGCTATAATTGGCGACGAGGGGCTACGTACGACTCGTCCATCTCCGGGCCGGTAGAGCGCTGAAGAGGTTGGACATGGCTCTTGTCGGCATTGAAGGCGGGTGCGGGCGTGTCTCGAACCTCACTGCAATTGGAAAAAC